ACCTTGGCGAATATTGTCAAGAGATAGAGTGCACGATACACTACATACTCTTGCTCATCTTTCAGTACTTTAGCCTCATGTTCACCTTTAAGCTTCTTGGATTGCACTTTCTCTGTCAGTCTTTCATATTCACTAATGGCTCTTTCAAACACTTCTTCGATGTACCTCTGCTTTGGAAGACAATGTCTCTGCACCATGTGGCAAAAAAAGTCTGCAAATATCTTGAGATCATCTGTGATTGGTTGATTGCATCGCTGGCCAATTTCCATCGCATGTCCCCACAAACCAATGCAAAGATCAAAATTGCCAGAGTCAGCAAAAACAGCACCACGGTACCTAATGGGGAAACGGAGTTCTGTATTATCTGTTCCAAGGATTCTTTCCCTGATTATTAGACCCTCCATGTGAATTGCATGGTCATTGCCCTCAATTAAGGCAAGCTCTGGCAAATTTTGACTTTCCTTTCTGTTCTGGTAAACTTCTAGTGGTTCCATTTGCTTTTTAAGCGATGGGTGGGAAGGTTCTGTAAATCTCTCTTCCATTCCACGTTTCATGTAAGAAAATGCTTTCTCAACATCATAGACATCTGGTTCATTGGCAATGGTACCACCAAGAAGCTCCAAACCTTCAATTCTTTGTTCCTTTGTACACTCAGGTCTTTTGATGAAATATTCAACCATTTCAATCTTACAGTCATTACTGGCCAAGAGAAGTGGTGTCAAACGTTGAACATTTGGCAGTTGCGATGCTCCCAAAGCTAAAAGCTTATTGGCAATCTCAAAATGACCTCTTTCAACGGCATAATGAAGTACAGTATTGCCTTGCTTGTCTTGTAAATCCATGTCAGCCCCAAACTTGATCAGATAATTAACCACTATCATATGCCCATTATAGCAAGCTACCATCAGAGGAGTGTTTTCAAAGTTGTTCCGCGCATTCACATCAGCCTCATTTTCAACCAAACAGCTAACAATGTCTAGACGTCCATCGTAAGCGGCCGCCCTCAAGGGCGTCGAATTCGTCAGCGTTCTTCCGTCTACATCCGCGTTTTGGGCAATTAACAACTTGACGACATCCAGATGTCCCGTGGCTGCCGCGGCCCAGAGAGGGGTACAACCTTCAATTACTTGATCATCAACTTTCACTGTTCCACGAGATTCGATGTCTGCTTTGTATCTGAGAAGCATTTTTACCGATTCTAGATTTCCATTACGGGCAGCAATTATAATAGGAGTGGTGACTTGATCGCCATCTTTCGTTTTCGTTTCCAAAGCAGAACTTCTTTCGCTGATCGACATTTTTTCAAGAACATTACTTAGTAGAATAACAGCACCATCACGAGCAGCTTCGTAAACTTTAGGCTTTGGGTTGAGCATTTCTCTCCACGACTGGCCATCCATGGTACAAATGAACTTCTTAAGTATCGGCATACGAAAAGAAAACTATCCACTTCTTCGACAAACAGTCTCGGGTAGCATTTAGTTGCCCAAAAGACACGTTTACATCCAAATAAAAGTTACTAGAGAGAGTACGATAAGTACTTTAAGTAATCAGAACGACGATGCAGCTTTTAAATGAGTGTTTCTACCTTTTTTCGTCAACTATATTGCGCCAGTACATTTGAAGACAAAGAACAGATTCGCGACCGCCATATTCACTTCTTCCGGCAAACTAGTCCCTCACGGCTCAACCACAGGACACCCAAGCTTCTTAAGGACAGTAAAAAGGAACAATTAGGGACTGTGCAATAATTATCAGGAGCGGGGGGGCTCAAAAACTAGAGTTATCTAGCAAAAACTTAGACAGTACCCCCCTCCAAAACAAAAAATTAGTTCAAACCCCCTCTGTTATGTTAAAAATAACGTCGCCCCCCACCCCCGCCCCCCATCACACTGGTAAACTCAAAACTGGATTGAGCTGCCATCACAGCTTCGATAATGACAAACGTTATTATGTAACATCTAGTATCGAGAAGGATGTTGATCGCTTGATTGAACATTTAGACAAAGCATTTGCTAAGTACCGGGGTGCTTACCACATTGGCTCAAAATCTAAAATTTCTGAAGCCAGAAAGAGAAAGGAGCAGAGAAAAAAATCAAAGAACAGCTGATTGAACGCTTCAAATAACAGACGAAACAGAGCTTGCATTATATTTAGATCCTTGGGAGGAGAGCCTGTTGAACTTTGTTATGAGCCACATATATATGGAATTCTGCAAATCGATTCAGTCGATGAAGAAACATTACTTTTTGTCACATCAAAAACCGACAAAGCTTGTCTACGAGATCTGTTTGATTCCCATTGTTTTATGGGGGAAGCTGAAAAACAAGTTCATGATTTTTGCTTTGTTGGTATTTGTTACAGTCTATCATGATGCCTGTATTGAGAACCTTTTATTGCGTTTAATTTTATTTACGTTTCGAATTAAACTTAAGGCTCCCCCTCCGTCAAATGAGTGATTTTACTTTGAGCCCCCCCTATCTTGGGAGCAATTTTATGTAATGCCCCCCCTCTGGTTTTAGGCCCCCCCTCCTGACAATTATTGCACAGTCCCTTAATTTTTGTAAGCGTTAATTTCCGCGCCTTTCAATAAACCAAGGATAACATTATCCATGGTAAAAGACTAAATGTAGTTAAAAAATCCGTGTTCAATCTTTAAAGCCAATTTTCTGAATTTTACCCTTTCGAGGCCAATTTTGAAAAAGAAACAGACAATTACTAAATTGATGAACCAATTTTTACTTTCAAGAATTTATTATGGTTCAGTCAGCCTGTACGAGATTTTTTTTTTTGGAGGGCAACGTTATGTAGAAATTCTTCTTCTTCTTCTTCATACCCTTTTCACCACTATATAAGTTAAAAATAAATCACCCCTGACAGGCGCCATCCTTAGTCCCCGAGGCCACCGCCCCTGAGTCAATTTACTGAATCACTGAAAGTTTTCATTTGTCAACCGAACCACTAAGGCGAATTCAAAGCCACTTTTAACTCGTTACAAAGTTGGCATTTTCAGAGCTAAGTATTTGCCTACATTACTCCTTTTACGACTTCAGAGAAGTACTTGTTTAGCTGGCGTTTAACTCTGCAGAAAGCCTTAAGATATCAGTACATGGACCTCTTTTTTTGTTGATGCTACAACAATAGTTCCAAAAACTGCTCAACTATTATTCGATAAGCTATGGTCAGTTGTTTCCTATTAACGGCGAGTAAAATAACGTCATATCCTGTTAAAATCCTGCCTTTTTAACTTGCTGTACTTATAAATCAAACACGAGTTCTGCGTGACTGTGAGTTAAGTACCACTATGTTAATAACCCGTAATCAAATTTTCAAGAAGAAATTTAAGAAACAAGCGGGTTGGTGGCCACGAACGTAGGTACGAACTAACTATTTTGAATATTTCGGAAAGATTGCGAAAAAATGCAACCTGACATGCTGATTGCAATTCAAATAATTTGTAAATAATAACAATAAAATGGCTTCAGGCTATTACCTTGTTTAAGGATTTTGAAAGCATCTTCTATTCGCATTTTTATTGAACTCAGTCACCGACCACTATTTCGGTCAATTTCTGGTTATGCTCGTCGTTTTTCTTAGCGATAACGAGCTGATTTTCCTTTTGCTGTTTAAAACAATGATTTCTCAAGTCTGTAAGTAAGTTTTGAGACCTTCAAAACCTTTCAACGTTTCAAATTTTCCTTTTTTCGCCAACTCAGCCGCAGTTTTCTCATGTTTGATTGTCTTCTTAGTGAGAAGTGACCAGCATTAGCCTCGCTTTTGCGCAAAAACAAGCGGTCGTCCTAGGCCGCCCGAGAATACGAAACTCGCCTAAAAAAAGTCAGTACCATTTATCGGTAAACTTCCACTGAAGTTTTTCGTACAAATAGTAACCTCTCTACAGGCTTTAAAAGGGGACTGATTTGTGCAAATGGGACGTCGCGCCATAAAAAAATCGTAGAGTATTTTAAGGTTCCAGAGAGTAAAGTGATACCACAACTGTGAGACCTCGAAACGCCGTCGGCTAGCGCATTCTTAAGTTACTGGTCATATCTTTCACTACACCGAGGTGTGTCGTGTGGTCATTGCTTTCCATAGTCAAATACTTACTTCAAGGTAAGCCCAGCAAAATGCGCAATTTGATTGGTGAGAAAACTAGGGTTTTTACCTTATAACTCAGTTTTAGATGACTGAAAACCTTTGCTATCGCGTTAAGCCATTTTGAGAAGTGATGTCGGCCATAAAGTTCCCTTTCCTTTCCAGACTCCAGCCCCTCCCTAACCTGCTATCAGACGGTCCTTCTTCCCTTTTTGTTTTGGAAGATCTCGTGATAGCCCCCCACTCACCCCCCCCCACAAACTCCCCCCCCCTTTATTTTTTTTTTTTTTTTTTTTGGGGGGGGGTCTGCTCCTTTTTACTCCATGCCCTCGCGCCAGTCCCCTGCGCTTCTTCAGCTAGGCTAAAAGGAAATGGAAACTACTGCTAGGCAGGGGTTAACTTTCTATCTGTTTTTCACTCCAAACGTAACTGTCTCATATTGAGTTGATGACTGTTCTAGCGCATCCGTATCTCTGTTACCAATCAATGCGTTCATTTATTTCCTTTTAAACAGCAACATATATCTTAACTAGAAAAAGGCTTTTTCGATAAAAAAACAAAATTAATATTCAATGCCAGTTTCCCTCCCATTCCAAGGGAAAGGCTATTGGTGGAGGCTGAATTAAACTAAGTTTGGCAAATATCTTTGTTTTGACTCACTGCAGCTGTTGTCTATTAGAGGTGCAGTTACAACCTCTTTCCCAGGGTTCTCTCCTACCCGACCTACGGAGGGCGGGTAGGAAAGAACCCTGGGAACGAGGTTGGTGCAGTTATAACAGACCTTAATAACAGACCTTGGTGCCTCAAAGGAACCAAGAATTTATTTATCCAGCGGTCCTATATCTAGCTTCAAAACTTCTATCAACTGTTAACATGATTCTTAGTCTCTGTATGATGGAAGAGAACCCGCCACAGTAATGACGGAAAATCCTCAGTTAAGAAATTTTATGCATTATTAGGTATTAATTAAGACTGTAGTAAGTATGATAATGGAGGGAAGAATTCACGTGAAAGTGATTAGTTATGTTTCCACGTCAGGATTTGAGGGTTTTCCCCGTTTAATGAGCTGTTTTTCTCCATTGATGTTGATAACTGGTGTTTCGGTTCTTGTATGCCACACGTATACCTAAAACAACAAGTGAAACGTTGCAAAAACAAGTCACCATACAACAGAAATATAACAAAGGAAGGGATACAATGCTGGAGTTTGAATGCTCTTGAGTTGATTGCAATTGAAATTGGGGCATCTCTTGAGACTCTGTTCGTTTCATTATCGGTTGCTTCTGATTCACATGACAACTTTGCATTCATACTCAAGCTCAAAGGTTGTTTGGCAAGCGGAGAGCTACAATGTACTCCCCATCAGATTTGTCACTCATCTTGTTACCCTATCTACAATGTTATTTGCATCACGCCAATTTCCAAAAAGTACGGGGGCTTAAAACAGGGGAAGGTTTGGAATGAATGAATGTGACAAAACCACGACCTTCGACTGTTGTTCAGCGAAATTGGACGAATATTGGAGTTTAGGATAAGTATGCTCGTGGAAAATTAGAATCGAAAGCACGCAGACTAATGTGAGAGTGCGTGTCTTAGGCTTGAGGAAAAGAAAGCATGTACCGCAAAGTACGAAGGTAGTTATTTTCATTGTTTCTTGTTTCTGTTTAAACTTTATTAATTTTTAAAAAAATCTTTCTTTACGTATAACGCCAAGTGATCCCAGTGTATGAAAAAATATGACTAACCTTTTCGTCCTGATTATCCTAAGTAAACTGATAAAACTATATTACCTCCAAACCCCACGGACAGTTATCTTTGTCGCTGGAGAGAGAAAGCTAAAGCCTTTATATTTTCTCTAAATTCAACCCGCTTAATACGGCCGACACTTTCTATGGCCCCCTCAGTAACGGGATTTGACTGTATTTCAATAAACGACGACGAACAACCCCATACCTTTCATGGGAGAATCTCAGGGGACGAGCGGGATTATTACACTGACTACATACCTTCATACAGTTGCTTGCCTTAGGTTCCAACTCGTCCATAGTGGTAATCTGTTCTAGAAATGAAGTCTCCAGGAATCCTGGCTTGATATCAGGATCAAATCGAGCCTCAGGTCTTTCTACCAGCAGCTTTTTCAAGCTTACTGCAAACGCCGACATATCAACAGGAAATGTTCTGAATGGTTTCCAGTTGGTATGAAAGCCAGTCACATGACCGTTTTCGCAGATGGGACCCGCCCATCTAGCTGCCCCTGTAAATGCCACTGGCCACACCCCAACGGTGTTAATCGTCCGCATCTAATGAAGATGAAATAATTCAGTAAGGTCTGTTATTAGCAATGTTTTCAGTAGGTTTTTAACTTTAAAGCGATGACTACAGAGGAGTCAGAGGAAGGAGCGCCGACACTTAGCACCTAAGACTATGAATTGGTCAAAGGAATAAGTCTTGCGAGCGAAAATGATGTTGGTATGGCTACTAGGATCTATAATAGATCGAAATACTTAAAACTAAATTCTCACATTACAAAGAAGGCTGATACTGTCGGAAGAATTAGTGTTGCAAGACATCAACAGGACACAAATATCCTGCCAATAGAGCTGGGCAGCGTTAATTCAAAAACATGTTGTTCAATAGTAACGCAATCAGTTTAGAAGAAGACTTTTACAATGTAAAGTGCTAGTAAACAAACTCCAAAGCCATCCACTTGAAATAACCTTCGCATTTTGATGTCTAACGCCACAAATTTATTTCAAGGTTTTCTCCACGAAGATTGCTTCTGAGGCAAGTTTCCCCTGTCAGGGAATCCGGGAAATTTTTCCTTGTGGAATCCGGGATCTTTGGCCTTGGAATCCGGAATACAGCTCTAGGAATCCGAAATCCTACCAACGACTGGAATCCAGAATCCAACTTTCCCTGACAGACACTGGACATGCAAGTATTTGGAATCCGGAATAGAAGAACGTCGTGGATTCCCTTTGATAGGGTGAAGCTACTCTGAAAAGTTTTCATTGAGCAAACATGATAAAAATGCCAAGGAGACAAAAACTGATAAAAGAAGAAAATATTGTTACCTCATCAAATAATCTTATGTCGTAAGTATTATCGTCATCAGCAAAGTACACCACTCCTTTTGTTTCATTGGGCTTAATATTGTCACGTATCCATTCTAATCCCACATTACGTTGTTCTGTACCTCTCGACTTAGTCCACCGTGGCTTATTTCGCCCAATCCTCATTTCCACCGGTGTCCGTACGTTAAGATGAGTATATCTGATGCCAAAATGATTTAAAAGCCGTTTAACCAGATTTGTTTTTTCGTGCGAGTCCTCCACGACAATCCAGTGTAGATTTTTAACATGTTTTAAAGTCTGGGCCGTGCGCGTTAACTCAGCTTTTTGTAAAAATCTCCTATAGGTAGGAGTAATGGCAAAAATTGTCGGCAGCTTAGGATCCCATCCAGAATTTTGCATGGCTAGTTTTTCTTGTAGTTCTATTACTTTTGCTTGGAGTTTTTCCTGAAGTAGTTGTTGTTCATAAATTGCAGTTTCACTAGATGAAAGAAACTGATCCTTTGAATTGTTATTTTCCATTTGAGAGGGAACAGGGAGGGTAGTAATTCCGGGAAGTTTTCTAACCAGTCGACCATTATATTGACTAAAATATGAAGCTGATGAGAAAAAAAAATGTAAAAAAAACAGTTAGACTACCTATCAAACTCGAATAAAAGTAGATAATGCATCACGAGCCTTGATATCAGGCTTCATTTTCCACTGCTCTCCTAAGTCCGGCGGGTCTCATGTTCTTTCCCTTAACGAGTGAATTGTTTCTTAACCCTCGGACGTACAGGGGAGAGGAGGGTGGCTGCCACCCCCCTCTGAGGTTTTTCTGAGTTTTTTTTCCTAGACGATAAAACATTTGCACCTGACGTTTTCAGCAGCTGTTCGTTTATCTCTCGCGCGCATTTTGAAACAAGTTAAGTGATGGTCAGTTTATATGGTTACGAGATATGACGTCATAAGTAGTTCAAGCCATTTTTGAGTGAAAATACCTGTTTTTCAACTTTTTTTCAGCAATGTAGGTAAATCTTGTGGCTAAAATCATGCAAAGTGCTTATTTATGTGTTATTTTTCATGTCAAGCACAAAAAATTACCACCTCTCGCGGTTTTAACCTGATTTCTAAATCTTGGTAAAATCCAAGATGAAAGAGAAGAAGATCGAAAGAACAGTGTCAAAACTCAAACACTATCAAAAACTCTGGGGAGGGGTTCCATCCATCACCCTTCCCCCCTCCCGTTGGGGGTATGAATTTACGTTTACGTCCGAGGGTTAAACCTGAAGTGAAAGAAGTTGACGCTTCAAGGAATAAACGCGAATTTCAAAACTTCGCGTTAATTTGCAGGGTGTTAATGTTTATTTTCGCGCCATTAATTAAGTTTAGCAGGAGCCCATCAATTTGATGGGCTCCTGAGTTTAATGATAATCTCCGGGACCTTTTTTCCATTATTTTTGCCCCAATTTCTCGATACACTCTTGATTGATAAGAAAAAGCATTATTTTATCGGATCAGGATCTGACGGTATAACTAAAACTGTGAAAAACGCTCGAACAAAGTTGCTAGATTCCTTCGCTCAAAAAAATTGTTGCTGTTGTCTCAACAGGTTTTGTTTCTTTTGAGCATCTTCTCGTTATATTCAACTTTCGTGAAGGGCCTGTTTACATGGAGATGGGGGACCCCAGATAGGTGAGGTAACATGCGGCGGGTCACCCCACCTATCAAGTAAACGTGATCAAATTAAAATGAGAGATTATGTGGACAGGCGGGTTACCCACCAAAGCGGGTTACCTCACCTACCTGGGGTCCCCCACCTCCATGTAAACAGGCCCTAACTTATTTCATTTGAAATACCTTAATTAACACAAGCGTCAAAATGCGTGACCATTTCTTAATTAAAATTCGCATCCACAGTGAAGTGTTCATATATGATTTGTTTTATATTCTAATCGCCTTCTTGAAATGTTTTGTTGTATATATATTAACTTAAAACAGATGAAAAATACCTAATAACAGGTATTTACTCAATCAAGTTTACGTTTATTACTCATTTACTCGAATCTCTGATAATAAAGAAAAAATATACTAGGTAAAAAATGCACCACCACTTACTTTTAATATTCGCTTTTTCAATAACACTTTGAAGAACTTTCGTTAGAATTACAATTCCGAGGAGAACACTGAGAAAAATGACGTATTTGATTGCACTACCACGAAACATCTGCAAGATAATAGAAGATTTGAAATAATAGAACATCCTTAAAGTAAACACAACAAATAACAAAGACAATCTGAAAAAGGGGAGCAAGGGTGCCGCAGTAATGAGAGCACTCGCCTCCCACTAATGTGGCGCGGGGTTCAAATGTGGGTTGAGTTTGTTGTTTGTTCTGTCCCTTGCTCTGAGAGGTTTTTCTCCGGGTACTCCGGTTTTCCTTAAAAACCAACATTTCCAAATTCCAATTCGAGCAGGAATCAGGTAGACGAAGAACCAGTTTGCGGATGTGCTACCTCGAAGTCGTTATTTATTTATTTATTGTATTTCTAAAGAAAAGAATAGAAAATTATGTGGCCTATGGTTTCTCTTGCATGACCGTATTCTGTTAGTGCCCGATAAAATATTTTTGCACATTTGTAGCTAGCACTATTCTCGAAGTCTAAAAAAATTGAAGCAGAAAATTTTAAGTAGGATGAAAAAATGTCAAAAATATCATTTCTGCCTAGTTTAGTTCTAGTCAAGTGGGATAAAGGTTTTACATCTTGCATCCAAAATTAGTCGTTCTCAGTCATCGAAACAAAAAATGTGTCAGAGATGAAAAAATGTTTAATGAGGCTAAAGAATTGAATCAGATACACTAATGGGGAGGGGGGGGCGGGGACTAGAGTTGGAGTCAGATAAAAACTATCTATTTACTAGACTGCCAAACCTCGAAGGTCCTAGAACGTATATTTCTTTGCGTGCAGAAGACGTCACGTGCTCAGAAACAAAATGGCGCCGTCCATTGTTAAAATTATGTTACTGAATGAAATGACGAAGCCGAAATATTCAATAACTTCCAAATCACATAATATCAAAACCGAATAACAGTCCTTGGGTTATCCAGACCTTGAAGTAGTTACTTAAAGGCCCTTAAGGTTATAATATTTTGAACATATAAGATTACTCGAATGTGAACGTGTGGAGTTAAACCCGGCTGGCGTTTTCCTTTTTTTTTTCTTCAAATTCGTTACTGTCAACAATAATGTATCCACGAGTTTGGTGGCATTTTTCGCTTTTATGATTGGTAATTTCATTTTAAACAAAGTTGTAAGTAAAAGTTACACTGCGCTGAAAGTCACAAGAAAAATATAAACAATAACTTACCATTTTGTAGGATTGAAACTAAGACTAACTGAGACGATTTACAGTAACTTTTTATCTCCGTGCAGTAAAACTTTCAATATATTCCCATCAATCCTTGTCCAGTTAGTTATTTAAGTTCCTTCTTTTTTTTCCAAAAGACAAAAGCTCAGGTCCATGTGTTCGATCGTTGTCACCACATCTCCACCCAATCTCTATTGGTGAGCAGCGAAGACATCAACTAAAAACTCTTCACTGAATACCATATTGGCCGTAATTAAAGTCCGCTCAGTAATCTTGCCAATCGTCTTTGATTCTTTCTAACAACTATTGCATCCTTTTATTTAGTGTCTCGTTATTTCCTTTATTCCAACAGCACGTGTTTGCCTTCTCTAAACCTTATACTGTCAGGCCCTGATAAAATTTGCATAAGACCAGTGAGTGCTTTCCATTCAAGACTGGTACCGGCTATTGTCCAAGAAAACCATCAATCTGACATATATGCTGGTTTAATGTCGTATATTGTGACCAAGCTCTTGATTAAGTCGCTACATTTTCACAAGACATATTTTGTTTCGAAATTTTAAACTCTATCTTTTATAAATTAAAGGGGGAAACAGATGAAGAATCAAAATTGAATGGAGTTTTTCGAAGGAGCAAATGTTTTGGTTGGTAAACAAGGTCTTCCAATTTAATTACCCGATTGGTAAACCAGTACATGTTCCTTAATCAAACTGTCAAACGTAATTTTAAAGTTATTAAAACTCCACGTGGATTAAGGTGATCGACGAGAAAAATGAACCTCAGCTGGTAAGAAGAAGAAGGGGTATCGATAACCTGCGCTGCGATCACACCTTCGCCGACTTTCCCGCTCCTTCTAAAATGAACAACTAACAGCAGGTTTCAAATAAATTGAATCCATGGTAACAAAACGACACGTGGTGGCCTGGGAGCTACAATCACGGACAAAAGTAGATGGGAAGGTTGAATAACTTAACCGCATTATTGGTCCATTTCATGCGCCTTATATCTATGTTCAAAAAAGATTATTTGTTCTTCTCCTGAATACCACCCGCCCCTCCTCCCCAATTCAATGTTGGGACATAAAACAACAATTACGCACAAAAACAGTTTAGTTTTGTCCAACATTGATCCAGGGGGAGGGGGGGGGGGGACAAGGACAAGAAAGGTAAAAAGTGGTAGCCTTCCCAACGTTTTTGACGATGGTTGTAGGTAATCTAGATGAGACATATGTTTGTTAGCAGTCATTTCACCTCAACTCGCCTCTTCGCGCCCAATTTACCCTATTCCTCCCCCAAGTTCTTTCTTAGTCCCGCATGACCCCCCCCCCCAATCCCGTTTGTTAGCAGTAGATACAGTCAAGATATTCCTACCGCCATTAAGATTTCGCCTTAATCAGCCGTGATCAGATCAAAGCGATTTCTGGAAACCAGTACAAGTACGATATCATGGGCGCTTTCCATTTACGAAAAAAACCCGGAAATTTCGGTGGTAGCAAAAGTGGGATTTCCGATTGGTAAAAAGTTGTTCCATTTGGTCGTCAACCCCGGTACGTGGCCGGGTGCCCGACGGTGGACCTGGAACTGGTACAAACTACAAGAAACGTCAATGGAACACGACATTCCGTTCGGAAATTCCAACCGGGAAAACGGGACCACCTTTTTAGATTTTCCACTTTTTCTGGGAATTTTCCAGTGGGACGAACCGACGAAACGTGTTCCATTTACCGTCGAACCGGAAATTCCGGAAATTTTGACAAAATGGAAAGCGCCCCATATCTCACGGGAGATGGTTTTTCCAGGGCTCTGACTGACAGTATTTGATTGTCATGTAATACCCACGAAGATCTGTAGATACTATACTGGTTCATACTTTTAAAACTGATTATTCTCCACAACCATAGTTAATTGAGTGGAATGGTTATGAAACCCGTCAGACTCCTTTGTTATATGTTTTTGTGGACCTGTAAGTGCACAACGTTCAAAAGAATTCCTATCATTTTGATTTATTCCGTAACAATTTGCCAACAGAAAACAAAGGATTGTGCACTTTCACGGTACTTCCAACATAAACTGCAGCACTGTTGTTCTTATCATTGATGTTTGCCGCTTTTCATAACCAGTCTCCTCTAATAACTATGCCACAACAGAGGAAAAAAGGTTTTCCCGCCATTTTTGCATGTGTGTATGATTTCACACGTTAATTTAGCTCTATTCACGAAGATGCAGTGTGTAAAACAAGACAAATTAAACAATTTTTTTTACTGTGTTTTGAAACCTGCGTTAGAGGGTTTTTTCACGGCTGTCTAATTCAGTGGGTTAATATTGCCAATAACGCGTATATTATCGCTAAGAAATTTGACATTAGCGATGAATCTTTTTTTTTCTTGTAAACGACAAAATCGCAGCCTCGTATCAAACAAATATCTCTCCTAATTCATTAAATAAAGCAATACAAAGGCAACAGCAGCGAACTTTGAAAGACTGTTAGACTAACAAGTTTTCAAAAACCCAACTGCAATCATCATCATCATAATAATAACCTTTATTTTAAGAGGGTGACACCAATTACTATAAAAAGTATTCCGGCCCTAGTGCCCCTCTAAAAACAAAATTGATAATAATTAATTACAACTGTCGTGAGAAAAAGCCTATTTACAAATAGTAATTATAATAAAGGATCTTAAAAATTCTAAACAAGTATTCCCCCTCCCTAGTGGCCCTCTAAAAACAAAATTGATAACAATAAAATTACAGCAATCATGATAAAAAGCCTATTTACAGCCTATTATAATAAAAGGTTCTTAAAAATTGTAGAGATTTAAAAAATTGAGAGATGTATAAACGGAAGTGAATACATTGGTACAAAAGGGAATCCAATGTACAATGATGTTAAAAAAAAAGCACGAAGTTTTAAAAATCAGAATAACTTTTTAACTTTAAAATTGTCCACCGTACAGTTTGAGGCGACGTTATTAATCCGTTTTAATCTTTTTTAAGTTTGACCGTCCGTGCCTTCTTTAGTATTTGCTATATTATTTACACTTTCTTTGAATGTTTTTAGCGGTTATGTTTACGTTTCGTCTAATTTGGTGGCAGCTCTCGCTGTTAGAATTTTGGTAAAATTCAAGACACGGCTCCTTTAATCTGCTTCACTATTGAGTGGCTTATAATAAAAAAGTCTTTTCTTGTTCCCAGAGCCCCCTATGTTTCTTGGTCCGTGAGGTATGGACAAGAAGAACCTTGGTAAACAGATAACGTAGTTAAAAAGAAACAGGTGGCCCTGGAAGCCCAATTTTTCTTGCCTTGTTGATCCTTAGCATGGGTTTTTAAATCTGCTTCGTATCTTGGGAAGGGCGCATTTTACTTGAATCCTTCCCATGACGCGCTACGCTCTCTGTTTTCCGGCTACAACATGCAGTGCAGTGAAGCGAGACAGCAATTTCAATTGGTCTGATTAGTCCTATTGACAGCCCAACGGCCAGTTGAATGAACGTAACGTCGAATGTCGGACCTAACAGCGAACTTCTGATGCTCAGGTCAATCAAACGCCTTACTCCAACTCCAGACGATAGAAATCACCTGTGACGCAAATTTTTATGAAACTGACCCAGGGAACGAGTCCACAATAGAGTTAGAGGGTGTTCACATGACACTGGGGCGACTTTCGTGTCTACGCGAGCTCACTCTAGTTCCCTCTCGTGGTTTTGTATTTGTCTACATGATGCCACCACAAAATGTCATACCAGAGCGAGTCACACCGGCGTGAGTTCACACCGGTTCCCAACGATATCATGTAAACGCGATACCACCACTCGATTCGGTGTGAAATCGGCCCCCTGTGCCGGTTAATGTGCCGGTATTAAGTGCCGGTAGACTGGAACGGGTAGCACATGCGTCGGGTTTCGTCAATTCAGGATGGTGGTCATGGGACGACGAAAAAACATGCAAACATGTAAATGCGATATGTGTAAATGTAAATATCACATTATCCACTCCCCTCAGGGCTTTTTAGGGATAATTTACAACACCAGGAGCCCCGTGTGGGCTCCTGACAACACTGGTTGGGGGACTTTGCCAGACAGCTTAAGGTGCAGTTTACAAGTAATGAAGGAATGAGTAATGATGCCCCCATACATGAGTGTGAATGTGAGATAAACCACTAAACCGGGCACTACGTGCCCTACTCTTTACGAAAAACGTCCCACAGATTTTTTATTACAGGTGCAAGGGCTTGTGAGAAAGGGCCTACGGTTTATCGTCCTTATCCGAGAAGACTAGAAAGTCAAACCGTTTGCAGATCATCAGCAGATGTTATTACAAAGGCAGCACTTTCTCCTCAGTTATTTAAAGACCCTGAGGGTTGGTCCGGCCTGGGTTTGAACCTAGAGCCTCCCGCTCAGCAGACCGGCGCTTATCCCATTATGATATCAAATCAAGAAGTCATCCCAGTATGAAACTCGCACATGTGCGACAACCACCTTACTTGGCCGTTGCTAGGCAATTTGAGAAGCGTTCCAATACAGGTTCTCGCTAATGGTACCTGCCTACACTTTTTGTTCCCAAGTATTAAAGAAATGCCTTTCGCAGGTGCTACTTTGAAAACTTGTTAAAAGACCCTTGTATTTATCTCAAAAGGAAGTCTTGTAAAAAAAACAATTCTTATAGATTATTTATGTTTCAAAATAATTTTATTATAATTTAGGCAAAATGATCTTCGCTTGGGAAATATCAGTGATTTATTGGCTTTTTATGACCATCGAAACGCAGATTTGAAGGTTTGTTGTTAATAACTCTTTTCCCCAGATCTTGTTCGGTTTCTAAAATTTATAGCTAAATGATGATCTCTTAACATTTAACATTTCTCACTTAAATACCTCTTTAGAACAAATTAGTCTGTTCAAATATTAAATCAAATCAAAGATCAGCTTATTAAAATAAGCGCGTTTAACCGTAATGATGCAATTCATTCAAGACTGAAGATTTCACTTGCTAATAATCAAGTTTATTTGAAGTATCAATTGGACAACTCAGGGTTGTTACTCGGCTTTCATACGGTGCTATGATTTTTCTGACTCCAGCCAAGAAAAACACTGAGTTCAATGAGTGACAATTCCTATCTTTTATTGAATAAAGCAAAATGGTATTCCAAGGAGGTAAGAAGATAATTTGAATTGATTCTCAAATGGCTTTGTACTCCATGACATGCATGAATATCATTTTCACCTAGCGGGTTAAAAACGCTAGTTAACGTTTGCTTGCAGGTTTGTAGTCCAAATAGTTAGATGGGGTATGAGGGTATGCTAAGAGCAAGTTGCTCGTCTTTTCTACTGTCAGAAATAAGGCCCTAAATGGTTAACGTACGGTGGTCAATTTCAAAAATAGGCCACTTTCACTAAGAGGTCACGTGACCAGTGCTTCCTTTAAACAATAAGTTGGAATCTGGCTGATGCCAAAAATCGACAGAGCACATAAAAATTATCTTACATCCGAAACTTGAAAGGAAACGCATTTAAGGGAGATATTTTACGCCGCTTTAAGTTTTCAGCAAAGTAGTATCATTTGTATTGGCCGCCATGGTGGAGGGCATACTCTTGCTCTGCAACATGGCGGCCAAAACTACTTTTTGCTTATATCTTGTCAAACGTTTGATAGTTACGCTCAGATGTGCTGTAAACTTTACCACATCATCTTTTCAACATTTTCCGTGAAGTTTAAGTGCAAAATTTGTGTTCAGAAAGAGGTAATTCAAAATTTTAAAAATCACACTTTGGTCACGTGATCAGCTACGAACTTACTCATTTTAAGAAAATGGTGCGGGTTTGAAAAACCAAATCACTATTATTTTGTTTAAGATATGACCCACTTATCGTTTTTCGAAGGCAAAATCAGATAACTTTCATTTTCATAAAAACGATGTCACATGTCTCTTAGTACAAATGGCCTATTCTACACAGTGCTTTTGGTAATTTGTCTCTTGAGAGAGACACTTTCGTTTAAGGTCGCTATCATTACGCAAATCTTTATATAGTTTCCCGGCAAACAGCATTGAACGCCAACTCTCCTAAATACCCTCCATACTGCATTGAAAGTCATGCTGAGTACTTTGCTGTTAAAACAGTCGAGTCTCTCTCTCTCGCTCAGACACTTTTCTAGCACATCGGTTCTTGGTGGGTGGGTAGTCTTCTGTTACTGGCAGTTCTTAAAGGCAAATGGCTGTCTGTTATATATAATTTTCTACTCCCAAGGATTCCAAACGTCGTAGAACCGGCTCGAACTATATTATACCGACAGCTGAGCTGTGTCATGTGGATGCCTGTCTCATTCGGACAGTTCTCTTGGTAACAAAGATTCCGAATTTTCTATAATCCCCGAACAGTGTAATGCAAACAACTCTCTAGGCGGGTGCTTCTCTGTTTCGGTCATTTCCCTTGCATGGTCCCAAAGATTCCAAATTTTCTACAATCTTGACCTCTCTCTCTCAACTCTCAGTTTAAGACGCAGGACACCTTAGGGAGCGGCACTATTTGTGTCCACCTTAAAGAGATGTTCATTTTGATCTTCTTGATAGAGAGCCAACTAAAAGGAGTAAGGAAAGGCTGCTGAGGGACCAACTTTAGATGGTCATTTTTTACACACCTTGTCCGTTAAGAGAGAGCTGACTGTTTTGGCTCACTCGTTTTGTAGTCGGCATTAACGAGTTTTTTATTTGCTTCTAATATATTTTACTAGCGCACTCACTTTTTCAGCATCACATTAAAAGCAAAATTATGAAGACAAGTTCAAAATGGGGAGAATAAACAGGAAAAGAAGTACAAAGATTGTGACGTTTGCTGTTCTGCTCAGTCTCTTCGCTTATTTTATGCTCAAAGATAAATCGGAGATGGATAAATCTCACAATGAAATAACCTCAAGAGGTGCTGCTGGCTTGTTTCGCAGAGGTATGTACTGCCATAAGACATTTACCAATGAAAGTAGAAATTCTCGCGGGCTCATTGGTCGCCAGCATTGCGCATGCCTAGGAGAGATAGCGAAGGAATGAAAGAAAGGGATTAATCTTTACCCTTTCCGGAAAGTATTTTACCTTTCCGGTAATGGGCTCTGAGTCAATAGTTTTAGTAAAATCCAACTAGTTGGTCAAAAATATCGAGAATAGAAAAATTTTAGCTAGTCAAAGCTAGACTTTAATCCTTTTTTGCCGCCAAAAAGCCCGCGCTTTACGCTACTAGTGGGCTATGACATATAGTCTAGTAGTAGCTCAACCATTCAGAACGCAGCGTTGATAATAGACCACTAGTTGGATTTTACTAATAACCGTTGACCGTACAGTAAATAAGAGCCCTTTCTGTGGCCGCCCTGGCAAGCTGTGGGACACTCCACCGAAATACTTACCTTCTAAAAAAGCTTCTTGTCCATACTTATTTATTCTTGTTTCGTTTACTCTATTCATATTTCTAATATACAGTCGTTGATTTTTAAACAATATTCCTCAGCGCCATTAAACTGATGGAATTGGTCGCCAGATAAAGTTTCCCTGAATCATCGTTATGAGCTATTTTTGGTAAAGGCAACAGAAACTAAACTTAATTCTCTGTAAATGTAATTTATTCTAAAACGCAAAAAGCCTTGTTTTCGCTCTATTTATTACAGAATCAGAACCTTGGATCCAGGAACAATTCACCAACTCAGCAAGCATCTTTCCAGTGAGGAAAGCTTTGGAGGAAGAACTACAACGAATGAAAGAAAAAGAAGAGATGTTCGTGGAGAAATTGATCAAAGCAAGAAAAAACGAAGAAGATTTAAAAAACAATCTGATACGGTTATCTCAAGAACTGTGGGTAAATAATGCACTTAAAGATCCGTTAAAACTTACACACAACACACAAGAAAATTTTGACTTACCTACTATCTTTGTTGTCACGCCGACATTCAAACGTTTTGTGCAAAAGGCTGAATTAACTCGACTATCACAAGCTTTTAAGTCTGTCAAGAACTTACACTGGATTGTAGTGGAAGATTCTGGGGATAAAACAAACTTAGTAGCTAATTTTCTGCGGAATTCACGTTTGAAATATACGCATCTAAATGTAAGGACTCCAGATACTCTTCGAAGACATAAAAACGAAAAGCGGCGGTCCAAGCCACGTGGGGTGGTGCAGAGAAACGTTGGAATTCAGTGGATAAGAAACAACATTGATCCTCACAGGACCCCTGGTGTGGTATATTTTGCGGATGATGATAATACGTATGATAGCCGCATCTTTGATGAGGTTTGTTGACTGAATATGTTATATACTCTTCCCCTATATGATCGTACTTGTTACTAGTCCAGACTCGCACTCAGTCGCCACTTATTTATCCTGGAAAAGGAATATGCAAAGGAAAATTGAAGCGCGCAAAGACGCTTGGGAAGGAGGGAGAAAAAGTGTTTCCCAGTTTTACTCCCTTCCTTCCTTCCCTTGATACACCGCGAATTCATTAAGCCCGGCATTAATCACATGTAGGGCTAATATAGAGAAACTGATTGAGTACGAGTTAGTTACTATTCCAGATTTATTACCTACATACTGACTTACCCATAGAGTTACAGGAGACTGATGGGGCTAAGACTATTAAACGTGCACACGGAACATCCTGCATGATGCTAGGATTGGAAAATTGCTACTTACCCGGAATGTATTGCGTGCCACGCAGAGGAAAATTTGAGGTCGCAAAAGAAAATCTCTTCCACCTCGCTTAACTTTCACGAGAAACGTCCAAAATTTCTCTCTCTATTTAATACAAAAATAATTCGGAATCGTTACAGTGTCAAAGCAAAAACCTCCACTTTCACAGCTTTTTTCACAAAACAATAAGAAGTTTACCTGCCAAATTTTTTTATGCCTTTTGTAACAAGGTAAATGACCGCTCAATCAGGAAGATGAAGGATGATTGAAAATTTATTGTTGCTTCTATTTTGTTTTATTTCCAGCGTTCATATAACATGTTTTTTATTCTTAGATGCGCTGGATCAAAGGTGTTGGTGTTTGGCCGGTAGCCTTTACTGGAGCTGTCCGTTGGGCAGGTCCCGTATGTAAAGATGGACAGGTCATTGGTTTCCACGCGAAGTGGGGATTGTTTCGTCCATTCCCTATCGACATGGCGGCTTTTGCAATAAATATCAAGAAGCTTTTAATAGATTTCCCTAAAGCTGAGTTTCTCTCTCCTGAAAAAGCGGGAATGTTGGAGTCTTCTTTGTTGACTCAAATAACAACAATCGATGAACTGGAACCCGTTACGCCAAACTGTAGCAAGGTAAACAAAGTTAGTAAATAATAGTTGGTAAATAATAATAATAAATAAATAAGTGAATCAAGTTGACACGCTAAAATAATTTGTAATGGTAATAAGACCGAGTGGAGTGCAATTCAGTTTGTAATCGCACGAGCGATTGACAAAATCGGACGACCGCGTACCCTGGGTACCAGAGATTTTTTCTCGCGTGTGACGGGGAGCTTCGTCGGCCGCAGGCCGACATGTCTTTGGCCTTCGGAAACCGCGCATGAAAAGTCTCTGGCACCCAGGGTAACGACTGCGTAGCGGGAGTCCTATTTGTTACAGACCGAATTGGATGACACGCAGTGATGTAACCAATTAATCTTAACCATTACAAGTCCGAGAAAAAAAAAAGCATTTTTTGTGAAAGATCTTTAATACCAATTAATGTCCAAACTTAGGGAAAATATCACTGGCAGAGACACTGTCTATGTTACAAATCCATCCATTTTAGAAAATCCCCAGTTTGATAGGGCAGGTGGTCGTTGCTATGGTTATTGTGATAACGTCTGTGATTGGTGGATCATGATTGACTGTTGTAACTGTCCGATTACAACCCTACACAAGAATTAGTAAAATATAAAGCAGTTAATGCACAAATCAAATTTGTTGAAATTGTAATGTTGTGATTAACTGCGCAATACGCTCTCCTACTTTTACCCATTTTCCTTTATTCTTGAGGAAGTTGAAGTTAAAGTTAAAAAATACTGAATGTGTTTCATTCCTTGTCAGGTCTATGTTTGGCACACCAGGACAGAGGTACCAAAGGACAGTATTATAGGAGAGAGAAGAATGATAAAGCAAGGCACACCATCGGATAATAATATAGAAACCTAGCCAAACCATCACTATGGATTATTGTTCGATTAGAAACCAAGGTTTTAGCGTTATAGTCAAACGAATGTACAATCGCTTTGGTTTTGAATATCTCGGCAAAATTTAAACCTTGCTATTGTTTTGGATAATATATCTCAATTTTTCAATGAAATGTGAAAAGAGAGACGAAAACACGTTTTCTGAGTCTTTCTTTGTGTTGTGGAAGTTCGGCTTGTGTGTTGTGGTGTGGGTGTTGTTCTGTGTGTCTCCGCAGGTAGCTACAGTAGCGCTGTATGCTGACAAAAAACCGACTCATGAAACAACAAAGTATACCTCAAAGCCAATAGCTGAAAATCTCATCTAAGGAATCAATTCGGTATAGCTCAAGAGGCTGCATAATTTAGGGGTGGGTCCTCATACTTCAAAAATATCGTTTGTTGCACTGGGATTGTCGTTTCTCGTTCGTTGTAATGAGGTTTCTAAGCAGGAAGTGATAAGCCGAATTCGAGATTATTGTTACCACCTCATTTTGCAAGTGAGTTTTTAGAACACCTCAAATATTTTGGTGGAGAACTCGGGTATCAATCCGTGTTACTCTCGCTTGCCATTTGAATGTAGTCTTCGGGTAGGCCTTCATTTAACAGCAAAATGTTTTATTTTCGGCATGTTACGTTAAAACTTAAGTACCGAGCGACTAAGACTTTTTCCAATAGCAAAAGCATGGACGTAATCCAACTACTTTTTCAGCAGAAAGAAGCAAAAGAGCATGAAAGGCCTCCACCATATTCATACAGTACACTTACAGGAGTGCGCCACTTTCAAGGGCATCTACAAGCGGTGTCATTGAGGATATACCTCCATTATATTCATAAAGTGCACAGTCAGGCAATGTTCCATCATCAACGGAGTCAGCAAGCAGTACTGCTGAGACTGTGCGCATGCTTGCATGGCTGGCGATAATTTAAAAAACTGCGCGCCTCAGTGGATTGGCATATTTATTGATAAATAGACATTTGCTATAAGTAGTTGTGGCTACTTTCTCATATACTGTAATAGACCGTATATAATGAGGCCTAATGAAAAGTAAAGTAAAAGTTCCATTTGCACGGATATAAAAAGCTATTTTGTTATGTTCTATCCCCGTTTTGAAAAAGAGGTTAGTGGCAGTTTCTTAATGACCTGCGTACGGAGTATGAAAATACGAAAAAGCTAACTTCCCACTTTGAGGCTGCAAGGCGAATAGCTTGAGTTGCGAGATCAGAAACCAGTAACTTGGAGACAAGAAGCCTTATTTTCGTTTAGATTTATGAAAGCTGCTTAAATTGGGCCTCATCTCAGGCTAGAAACTAGAAAAAATTTTAGGTTACTTGAGGCTTTTTAGTGACCAAATAAGACATGACCATTTTATTCAGTGGAACTGTGGGTTCTGTGTGAGTTAATATGATGTTCCAAGTAATGAACCTGTGCAGTAAGACGTTTTAGATGTTTTTAATCGTTTCACTGTCGAAACATTTTTGAAGTTGTTAGACAGAGTTAAATTAAAAGTATCTGAAGAATTTTTTAAACTTATTTTAGTAGAAAAACTTGTGTAATTATATATCCTATATAAGACCCCTCAAGGTACCAAGCTTTTTAAGAAAATGCCAGCTTGTATAAAGGTTTTTGACTTGATTTTATCAGAATACTGAACTTTTTGTAATAACTATTTTTGTACTTGCAGCGTCACTAAGGACAAAATTGGTCTCGTAGTTCGGTTTCATATTATAAATTATTCGGGTACAAAATTTTTGTCCACTGAAAATTGAAATTACAGTGTACTCAATTCCTTAAATGGATTCCGTCTTAAACTCATGCCAAAAAACAGCAATGGCGGACTTCCGTTATAACTCGTTAAAACCATGAAAAACCGATAACATCGATTTGACATAGCTATTCAGTTTATCGATTTTCACCGATTTCCGTTATCAATCGATAAAAATCACTTGATTCCTACCGATTTTTATCGATTGACTACTCCGGGCTTTAATATATGGCTAAGGCAAATCGTAACTAAAGATAATGCCAGCAATGTTTTCGAATCGAAGTATCTAAGGGGCTGTTTATATGGAGGGAGGATCGGAAGATCCTAGCACCAGGAAGATCCTAGAGGGCGAAACAACTTTTCGGGTGGGTTTACATGCAAAATTTCGGTCCGTGTGTTTAACAGATGAGAAGGAATTAAGGAGCAAAGATAACCCGTTGAACGACCAACCGCCGTTTTTGTTCTGTTTGTTCCTAGTACTAGCAAATCTTCCTAGGGAAGGCAGTTTACCTGGTGCTAGGATCTTCCTGGTACTAGGACTGATCTTCCTATCTCTCAGCTAGGAATATCCTAGCACTAACGAAAATTACAACTTGCAAGTAAACTGAATACAGAAAACATATGGCGCTAGGATGATTCGCCCTCTTGGATCTTCCTAGTGCTAGGATCTTCCTCCCTCCTGATCAGGTCCCAATTTTTCAAAAGGTGGATAGCACCATCCACAGGATAACGAAGTTGGCTTGCCTAACACTTATCCGCTGGATAGAGATTTATCCGGTGGTTATAAGCGCTATCCAGCGTTTGAACAACCGCGGCCAGAAGTCTAAATTTGGCATACTGTATGTCCTAGTCTGACTTTGGCCCTTAAGGTCAAAAACGTGCTTGATCTAAGAAAGCACGCACCAGCAACTGTGAAAGAATTTTTCTACCCCAGTGAAGCAACGAGTTGAGCAAACAATGTAAGGACTCCCAATTTCTTTGATCGCTCGATTGTTTCTGTGTCTTGCGTTTGGCAATTACCTCCTATGTCAGTAAGTTGTTATAATCAGAATTTGCATTGTCACTGAAAAGCCCTACCAGGGGAGTGTCAATAATTGTATTGTATTGTATTGTAATTTGTTTCATTTCGTTTGATTGTTATCATATATTTTTAAGACCATCTCACAGAGTAGTTACCAAATTCTTTCATACTTTCAAGTGTTTTCTCTGTCTTATGTAGTCACCGAGGTCAGCAAAAGCTAACAATCTCCTATTCGCTGAAATTGGATAACTTCTAGCATTGAACTGATACATTTCCTGAAGCTTGACCTTAATATAGCTGCTATTTTAAACTAATCACACAACTTCCCGTAACCAATATCCCTGTAATAAGAGCTTGCGCGGGTGATAGCCTTGCCAGACCTTGATTTTCCTGCTGCGCTGCAAACACGCAGTACGATAACCAGTTAAAACACCGTGCAAAATGGAAGAAGAGACCAAATCAAAAGCCAAATGTAGTACAAAGGTCTCCAAAAAAGACTCGTTGGTAATCTTTGGCTTGTCACTAGTTCTCTTTGCGTTGCTGATTGTGAGGGTAGAATTTGTAAATAGGAGGGCTGAGGTGATGGAAGCAAAACTTGAAGAACGCATTCAGCGAATCGAGGACGAAATGCAAGGGAAAGTACATAGTATTCTTAAAGACATTTTACAGACAGAGCGAAACCCTACGAAACGAAGCTCAAGAAGTTCTGCAAAAATGGGTAAGTCTTAAACAACTGTTTTTGAATACACAGGACACAGCAATTGCACTGAAGAACACTTCATTAAACAGGGGCACCCAACAACAGAATGCTTTTTAATACATAAGACGGGGTCTCCAATGGTTTCACCATAATTTTGGAGCTAATTTAAGTTAAGTTAATTTGGAGCTGCCCTACGAACTATTTATCTTTTTGGATGTCTTTGGGGAACTTTCGTTGTCTCGGAAGTTCTAGGTGGCTTTTTAGCTCATGGATGATGTATTCATGCCATGGGCTTTTGGAGGCACTCGATCACTCACTCACTCACTCACTCACTCACTCGATTCTCATTAATTTAGTCATTAAAGTCGGATTAAACACTTTACTTTTATCTCCCTTACTTAGTATTACTTTTGTTCCAAGTGCCTTTTACGTATATGTTTGGCATATTCTAGAGGGTACTAGTAATCTAGTAAGGCGTACATTTTTTTCCGACACATCATAGAAGATGGGTTTTGTGAAATGGAAATATTCTAAAGAACACTGACAATATCATCGGCGAGAAATGGACTTGGAGTTGTTAAAAGGACGTTGAAATAATTGAGCGGGGATCATTGTTGTATATTTGGACGAACTGTGCTCGGAGTGTGAAAAAGCTATTGCAGCCTGACGATGGGATTTCGCTAAACGAAAAGCGAATAATAAGCCAAAGAGCCTTAGCTGCCGAAAAACGGCCCTCGATTAAAGTAACCTTGAGGAGTTTCTATTGTGGTTTATTATTATTTGGACAATTTTGCTTGTAAAAAGGTGATTCCATTTATCAGCGCCATTAATGTAATTTCTACGGGAAATGCTACGCTGGAATGAACAAGTTTTTAGAATACTCAAGTACTGAAGGGCAATAGGATACTTCGACTGCGTTAAATTACTTAGCTAAGTCAGAGCACGTACAGCCGCGAGCTCAGTCCGTTTATCAAAATAATGTTTAGCTAGTGTTTATAGCAAAAGCGCTTCTAAAGCAGTTTAATTTAGCCGTAAACGCCTGTTTTCTGTATTTGAATTTAATAGCTCGTAGTACATATACTAAACGTTACGTACTCTTTGTGAACAGCATATGGAAACATTTATTTGAAAGCACTTATAGTAGACTGTTCACAGTCCTCTATTTTTCCGTAAGATCGTCGAGATCGAACGCTTTGCGTGACGGGCTGCCATCTTGCATGAGTGTCAAAACTACGTAGGGGGCGGGGGCGGTTTGGGAGGAAGCGAGAAAAATAGACGGACTGTAATAACAGAGAGATTAAGATTCACGTTTACGCCAAACGGCAAACGTGAATTTGTACCACGTGACCAAGTTTTCCCCTTGTTTTTCGTCTACTGTTTATTGCTTCTACACAAAAATAAGTAGTTTTATGCCAGTTTTGTCCACAAGAATCGTTCTGGACTGTTTTTATCTGCTTATTTTCTATTCTGAGAAATTTTCAACTGACGTTTGCCGTTTGCCGTATGCCGTAAACGTGAATCTTAATCTCTCTAACATCACTGCAGCTCGCGTTCAGGAGGCGTGAGAGGAATTTCACGCCTTTTACCATTCATTAATTAAGAAACTCCGCTGGTGATGAAAAACATGCCAGACACATTTAGCATCGATTACGCGCTTGTTTTTCGAAACAGTGATTTTATACTGTTTCTGGGCCATTCCTCGAAATAAAATCGGCAAACATGCACAAGAAAAACATTTTCCTAACCAAAATACCAAAAATCCTTCGTGTGTTTGCGCAAGATGTGCCTTATGGTATGAAAGCGTACGTTTTATGGAAACGTCGACTTGTCAACGACTTGTCAATGTCGGCAACTTAGATTAAACCCGTTGTCAACGCAAATTAACATCTATTGTATAATGACCAATCAAACGCATGCGTTGCTGGTACAACGCGCTCCGTGAACGCGAGCTGCAGTTATATTATTACAGTCCCTCTATTTTTCTCGCCTCTCCCCTCCCCCCCTTCCCCCCCCGTCAGAGCTATAATCCCCGACGCCTGCCCCCTCGGTACCTTTGAAAATCAAGATACCTGTGACGGTAAGACGTGGTATATCTAAACGATCTCACGAAAAAATAGGGGACTGTGAACAGTCTACACTTATAGGAAACCCTCGAGGTCCATTAAAATAATTGCTTAAAACCACGAATTAAATAAACCTCGGCCCTATGTAAAACTTAGGTATTTTACAAGAAAGTATACTATCGTTCAGAAAGTGTTTTACGATCACATGAGAAAGCAATTTATTTTACAACTAACAAGCGTTAAATTAATAAGTTTAAAGTGATCCTTGGGTTAAGCAGAAATGCTACGCTGATAACAAGTTTCTAGAATATTCAGGTGAACATGCAATCGGATACTTCGACTGTGTCGGGTTTGAATTCCTAAGGTTAGAACAGCTTCGGGCAAGGAAGGGAAGCTCCCTAGTCGTTGGTGGAAAGCGTGGGTGCTATAGAGATGCCAAAAAGTTAACGAAGAAACGCTGACGAAATGCGTAACACTATATGCCAAAAGCAGATGCCAAAAACCAAATGCTAAATACTGTATGCCAAAAATAAAACCTGCCAAAAATCAAATGTTAAACAAATGTAAACGTGATCTATCAAGTATATCAGCACACAGGAAGTCATGAAATATATATATAAAAAAAAACGAAGGAGAAAAGTGAATACAGTTACGGTGCCCAAACTGTTTAAAACACCTAAATTTCAAAATAGAATGTTTTTTCTACACTAATTCAATTCGATCATCCATGAGCTCACTCCTAGGAGCCTTTGATTCGTCTTATCAGAAATTGTAGCTTTAACTCTGATGGGTCCGGTCGGAAGTTTGAGGATATGGAGAAGCCTTCATTAGCAGATTCTAGGGGACGTTTTGTCTTCATACCGAAATTTTCGTCAGACCTCTTTTAACAATGATCGCCATATTCTGGAAATAAAATGTGAAAAACTTAATCTGCAAAAATCGTAGGTAAGGTACTAGTAGAAAAACGTTCCGAATATGTTAAACGGGTGGAACGGTTATCCAGAAGTTGTTAACCTTTTTCAAGCTTTAGAAATTTGTTCGCATCATTTATTCCTTCGAACAGTTATTTTACGTTCAGAATAAAGTCGTTGGGCCTCCTGACTTGAAGATCAAGAAAGTTTGAATTCGAATGTCATTTCATTATGATCTCTAATGTATACAAATACTTCGGTTCGTGCAAAGATCACTTCAATCCATTTATGGCGAATTAACTCTCGTGTTTGTATCAGTATACAATAACCACGCATGCTTCTAGATGTATGGCGGCTGGCTTAAGCTGGGTTAGGATAGGTTTTAAATGGAACATTTCTCCTGAAGTTTTCAACTTGGAGTATGATACGATCACTAACCGGTATTTTTTCTAAAAGGATTACGTTTTTATGCATGCCGTTGAATTGAAAACTAATATTTCCTGTCTCTGGTTTTATGTGCCCACCCCGTTTATTCCAATTTTGAGCCATGTTAGTTCTGTTTTATTGATAATTATAGCGTAAAACCTAAATATATGTGACCTGTTTGATAAATAAGTGGCTAATTACTCAAGTCAAGGTGCAGCAAAATTCAGGACAACGCAACAACCCCCCCCCCCCCCACTGCTGTTTACAGACTAATAATAATATATAACATATTTTTATTATCAACAGAGTTTCAAGAAACCCTAGAAAGCGTGTCAAGACAGCATCCACGAGAAAGACGAAATATAGCCCCGACACCTGTTGTATTATCTTTACAGCAAATCCGCCAGGAAATCGACAAGAAATTTACACAAGCGTGCACCACAGATGATAAGCTCTGTCAAAGAGGTCAAGAGGGACCTAAGGGAGAAAAAGGTGCCCCTGGGTACCCCGGATACAAGGGAGAAAAAGGAGCCCCTGGGAAAACTGGCCCCCGTGGTATTTTGGGCCCTAAAGGAACTAAAGGCGTTAGAGGAACACAAGGGCCTACGGGAGCGCAAGGATTCAAGGGAGTAAAAGGTGAAGTGGGAGGAATAGGCTCTCAGGGGGTAAAAGGAGACACTGGACTTATGGGCCCACCAGGTTTCAAAGGATCCACTGGAATAAAAGGAAGCAAAGGAAACAGGGGCTTTACTGGTATTCAAGGACCAAAAGGCGAATGTGTTGTTCCTCCCAAAATATTTGTTTCTCCAGAATCTCAGTATGTGTTTCTGAACAAACCGGCAACTTTTTATTGTTGGGTTCAAGGTCATTTGTCTCAGAAAATAACCTGGCGTAAGCTGGAAGGTAATTCGCACCGTGACATAAGTACAACAAATGGTATTCTTCATATCAATAATGTCCAAAGATCACACACTGGATCATACTTATGTACAGTCGTAACTAGTTATGGAACATTCCGAGCAGTGACCATTCTAGGAGTAAAAGGTAAGACACTTTAAAGTAGTTTTGTCCTTTTTTTCTTTCTTTCTTTTTGTTCTCATGCCACTTTTACTTTTTGTGATTGCTTTTTATGGTATTAAATTCGTTGTTGTTCAACAATGAAAATTATAAATGGCTTGTTCTCTTTCACATGAATGCATAAGCTCAATTTTGTGTAATATACATGTCCTGCCAAAAGCGATTTCCTGTACAAAGCCAAGTCGCCTTTTTTAAAACAAATTTTTGAATTATTTTCAGCTGACGATTTTGATACGTGATACATGATTGCGTGTATGAGAATTTAAAAAATATATATTTTGGCGTCTTTTAATATGGAGCAATCAGTGTATCGTAATTAGTATGCTACCAAGTAATAAAGCCTATGGGCTATATTCGTGTCCTATTGAACTTCTTAAAATGGTTACATATATTTTAAGTCAGAACCTTTAGCAAATACTTTTAACCAATCTATCTCATATGGGATTAATCCAAAAAAACTAAAACTTGCTAAAATAATTCCAGCTTATAAAGGAGATGACGCAACAGAGGCGGGAAACTATTGCCCAATCTCACTTCTTTCTGTTTAAAATAGAATTTTTGAAAAAATTAAGTGAATTTATCGACGAATATGGTATCCTATTTACTTCGCAATACGGGTTTTGAACAAACATAATACCCAACCTGTACCCAACACGCAATACTTGATACCATTAGCACCATACAATGTAACATGAACCAAGGGAATAAATCGTACGGAATCCTTATAGGTCTTAAAAGCGTTTAAAACAGGGAATCATAGTAGGCTTTTATCTCAGCTCTATAATTATGGTATCAAGGGTGTCGTGCACGACTGGTTTAAATCATGCCTAGCAAACCGTAAACAAAGGATCATCAAGTCCGGTTGCAACATTTGATGGGACTGATTTGATGACTTCTAAAACTTCGCGTTATGAAATTGTAGGTATGCTGAATTCAGAGGAGTTGCCAGCTTAGGTACGATTTACGAAATCTATCAAACTGGTTAGATCCTGTTCAGTATTGATGGTGTTATGAATACTGTTATCAGCAATAGACATGAATAGAGATATTAATAATGCTCATTGAATATGCTGGTTTTTTCTTCTGGGGTAGAATATAGCTGGTTCCGTCTTTGGTTACAGATCTCGTCTGGATGGTCTCACTTCGCATCAGCATTGTTTCCATTTGATTGTCCCGCATCACCTGAAACATTTTGAGACGACTCGGACAGCAAAATTCCGAGCTGATGTTGTTGTCTTGCAGTGATGGCAAAGAAATGCATTAAAATTTACTGCACATGCACGCAGTACTGTTGTTGTTTTGCTTTTGTTTTTAACGCCTTTTTCGTTGCCACTATTCGCTCAGAACGTCATTGATACCAAACCTTAATGAACTGAATCCTAACATACTAGAAATCCAGCTTTGGTCTATTATGAGCCCGCTGAAAAGGAACCTTACTTTTCTTTTGCTTATCACAGAAATGATTGATCTAACTTGCCACAAATTTTCCTACAGCATCTCCGATATTAACAAGAAAGCCTTCGCATCGCGTGTATGCAGACGGAGGATCCACCGTAAAGCTCTGTTGTGAAGCAGACGGTCACGTGGTGTGGTCAAGATCAGGAGCAACTCTTAAATCGCTTCTACATTTCATTCAGAAGGATGGATGCCTTACCATAAGAAACGTGAATAGAGAGAGGGCTGGAGAATACACTTGTCGTGCAACCAACCAGTTTGGAAAATCGGAGGCAACATCTGAAGTAATTTTGACAGGTGAAGTAATTCTTTACGTTTCTCATTTTCGTTGATATATATATTTTTTATTTATTTATTTATTTGTTAGTCACTCACACAACATAAATTTACATTAAACGCATTGAACCAAATTTATGCATTACATTGTGAATTAATGAGACAAGGAAGCCTAACGAAGCTGAGACTACATATTTTAGCTTGATTACTAATCACCAGCTTGAGTACAGAGTGTACAGAAGATCATGTCAAACTTAAGCGACACCTCCCAAGTTGAACAGAAAAATCGCTTAAGGATTTTTTTTCTCTTGACTTGGGAGGTGCCCGGCATGGAACTTCAGGTCCCGTTCGCACCTCACCTTTTGGTCTCCCTCTTTTCTTTTCTCTTTTTTTTCGTTTATATCATTTATTAGAGAGAGATTTACACCAATAAAGCTAATAAAATGAAATAAAAATATTAAATAGAATAAAACGACTATCAATAAGATAATTTATTAGATTTGTTTAAAAAAAAATAATATGGAAAAAGAGCGTCATGGTTGGTGAAATAGGCAACGAATTTCAGATTGTTTATCCTCGATGAAGGATTCGAATTGCTAATATTCGTTCTGCAAGAATGTGGCTTTTATAATGGTGAACCTGATCATTTTCAAAAGAGGCTACGAAAGCTACTAGACAGAAATTTATGGTGATAAGAATCAAAAGTACAAAAGGCAGAAAACGATAAATAAGTGCTAAAACATATTTATGTCAATGACTTCAAGTTTGCTAAATAAAGCCGCAGTGTTTGCTAGAAGGTGAGCTTTTGCTAGAAGCCGCACCATGGGCTTTTGCAAAAGGTAAATACAGTTTTAGCCTGTGTTGCAGCCGGCTATAGAGTGTTTTCACATGACGTCACGGCGGCCATATTGGTGTCCCAAAACAATTAAACGGCGGCCATGTTGGTGTCCCCAGCCAGTCCTGTGGGAGTTGAACTCCTTTCTTATGCAAACGCTTTCTTTTGTTCCAATAAATTTGCATAGATGCTGGCCACGTGAGTGAAAACACTCTATACAGTTGGTTTAGACTGTCTGCGACACAAGCTAATTCTCGCGGGCGGAGCGAATTTACCTCGCGTGTAGAACGCGCATGAAACAGACTCTTCGCAGACGTTTTTACGGCTTTGTAGGTCGCGGGATATGCAGACCTTCAAACCCTAGTAAACCAAGCAAATCTGGAGTGTTTGAAAAAAAAAAACACCCAAAAACCTGGAGACTGGGACCTCAAACCAGGCCTCAGTTGTTCAAAAGCTGGATAGGGCTATCCACCGGATAAATCACTATCCAGCGAATAAGTATTAGGGAAACCTGAACTGGGCTATCCAATGGATAAAGATTTATTCGGTGGATATAGCGCTATCCAACTTTTCAACAGCCGGGGCATGGAGATTTCGAAAATGTGTGCCAAATAAAACCAAAAAGGCAGATTATTTTTGTCGTGATATTCTTTACTCTATTAGCGGTGTCGTTATACTGTCTTAGTGCTCTACTAGTAGTAATGAGAAGATTCTGTTTTAATCATAAGAGCTTTCCCTCAGACCTTAGCGAACCTATGTTTTACGGGAATGAGGTTGTAATTTGACGCTGGCTCTCCCCCAATTAATGCAAAATTAGATTGATACAATATTCGCCCAGTATGAAGAGGATTTTTTTTAAAATAACGCGGTTTCCACCGGAATTGTCTGGCAACAGTGAGATTTGGAGGCTAAATCGTGAGACCGTAAGTCGACTGCCCAAACCGTGAGAGTTGGAGGTCTGGATATGTTTGTCTGCTGAAAGTGTGTTTCAGTTCGGCTTGTTACCGACAAAACCTCGCTTTTCCTGAAATCTGTTCCTTTGAATTAATGTTACGCCGAGAGTTGACCTATGGGTTAAAGAGTCATGAATGAAACACACACACACACACTTTATTAACAATTGTGACATACACTAATTAAATGCAGATTGTATACCTTGGACACCTAGCTTAGCCTGCGAAGCGCAGACGCATTTCCGGTCGTCGCTGCGACGACCGGAAATGCGTCTGCGCTTCGCAGGCTACACCTAGCTATGCTTGTTAAAATATTGACGCTATAGTCCGGGAAAGGATTGAAACTATGATTTGCCATGTTTGAAAGTTCTGAAAGATCAGAATTGTTTACCTATTCTTTTTGCATTTTACTCATGAATTGACAGTCAATCAAATCGGTGCCTGACGGTTTAGTTTCTGACACCTCGTGTGTGTATACTAAAGCGATTGTTCTTTTTAACTTCGGAGAATTCGAGAGAATATACACTTTTTCAAAAATTCTCGCGTCACCCCTCCTCGAGGTGGCATGAAAAGATTGTTGATGTAAAGCGGTCATTATTTTTTTTTCAAGAATCCTCTAAATCATGAAAAACATTACATGTATTTTTGTAATCGAAGTACCGAAAGAACCGAAAGTCATGAAGCCAGTTGCTTACTGGAAACTCACCTAATCGATGGGCAAGCGGATTAGGCTTCAAAGAAAAGGTGCGAGAAACAGTGATGCTACTGTTGAAATTCGACCTAATCAACTTTTCAGCGTGCCTATTATTATTTCGCAAGCTCCCTGTATAGGTTATTCTGACCGCTTATAATTTCTCCAAACAAACCTCTTTATCTTGAAGACAGGGAAATAAAGAATTTCTAGTATAGTTTTAGGTTCCCTACGTTCTTGTTTTAAGTAATAATAATAAAAATAATCAAGCTAACACCCAATGGCAAACTTTCAGGGCCTTGTGGAGTTCAAAGTCCTTCCTTCAAGGTACATACTTCTTTATTTATACTAACTAGCATTGTATAGTGCTCTTCAATAATCTTCCTAATTATTTTTGTTATTTTTTTAAGGCGCAATGTTAAGTGAGATGCGTGTTGTCCAGGTAGAGTCACCAAGATCCCTATTTACGTCATTGAAAAATAAGGAAAACTGCTTCTGCACTTGTTTTTCCCGATTCAGGGTTACTACTGTCACTCGGGCTGGATATTGATTGCTCGGTTCTCCAATAACGACGGCAAAAACTGGATGATTGACAGTGGTGACTGGTGGTATGACCGACGTTATGCTTCTGGAGCAACGTCTGATCCGTCAGTTAACGCTGACATGATCTCCCCTGCATTTTGGCTGCTGAAAGGCAGATACTTCAAAATCACGCGCAGTGATGACTCCAGTCACAAGCCACTGTTGCAAACCAGGGGCAACTGTTTGGGTGGAAAAACATTCCGATCAAAAATCACAAGTTATGGCGACTTTAGAAATGGCAAGGTGTGGTCCAGTGACAGGTGCCTGGAAAGCTGCAGCGTTTATTATGGTGGACAGTTCGCGACAACAGACGGGTTTCAACAGGTTCGGTGCAGTAGCACGATCCAAGCAAACTTCAAGATCGGCTTCTGGTGTGACTTTCGTGGTGATGGATCGGTGATGATGATTGGTGGAGGAGGTGGCTGTAACCGTGCTGATCACGGGATTGGAATAACAGAAGCAGACGGTGCTTCTTTTGTTGATCCCGGTGGAAGTGAAACTGAATATGACTTTGGATATGACGCTAATACGGGGAATGCTCCAACCCAGTCCTACTCACTGAACTTGTGGATCCGCTAATTGACAGTGATCTTGAGTTACTTGTTCATAAAAGGCACATCTTTGTAGATACCAAATACGACTAAATGCAAGAGGGTAACAACAACTCACCATATAAATGGTGAGGTGCCGCTTTCCTAATCACGCCGCAAAAAATAAATAATAATAAATATAAAACTTGTATCGCGCATGTACAATAGAAATATTTTCATAGGCGCACAACAGACAATAAGATAAGAATAAGTCGAATCAAAAGCTATCATAAAAATGTAAGTCGATAAATTGACAATAATTATTCCCTTTTGATTGTGCCAAGTCAGCATGTTTATTCCTGGCGAGGTCAATTTTGGAACCAAATAGCAGATGTCGCCGTTCGAGTTGTGTTCTTGCTGTTCTTGCCATGTTTTTAGCTATAATTTTGCCTAGTTCTTACTCTTGAAACGAGTGAAATGTCCGTCATTTTTGTTTTAACAACCAAAACAACTCAACCTCGTCCCCAGGTCTTCTCGGTTAACGGTGCATTAATCTGCAAAAACGCTGTATTTTGACGTCATTTCCTCGTTAAACACAAAATTCTTCCAAATTTAGTCATCAGTAACTGGTTATGGTGAATTGTGCGTGTGCTTTTAGATCGGGGAAATATTTTTTGAATGAATACTTATCCTGACTAATTGTAAAGAAACGGACTCGTAACCAGCCCCTCTAGGCTTTAAATTGGGCAATTACAGCAACTCGCCTAAGCGGTTCCTAAGCAGTACCAGCAGTCACCACTGGGGCAAATTGGTGGCATCCGCTAACTAACTTACTACTGCACTGCTGTAAGAAAGGCATTTTTTAAAAAGACTTATAGGAAATAAATGCAAAAGGTCAATCAGCTTCAAAGACAGGTTTGAAGATTAAAAGGGAAATTAATTAAATATAATCAGGACAATAAAGGCACCTCTTAAGGCCGCTAGTTGTTTGGCGTACCAGTTTGTCTTTGTTGTATGGATACATAGTCGGATGAGAAAGCCAATCCTATCTCAGGTCTTGGCAAATAGTAAACGCCTTATAGAATACATGATCAAGCGTAAAAACTGATCTCCAATATCGTGTCGTCAATATACGCTGTTTTCGAATCAAAATATAAAATTAATTTACTCCCTATCCGTTACAAAGTCATGTCAGCAACTAGTTCTGCTCCAGTTATCGGCCTAATTCGCTTACAGCATATTCTAATGAATCATTTTGAAATTGAAAATAGCGTTTTGACGACTTCCAGAACCTCGTTGGATTTAATCGTCGATATTAACTTAACAAAACGTTTGCTTATTAGTATCTTGGAGATAAAAAATATCATTATCATTACTCACTCAACCCTTGCTAATTGTAACCCTCCTGAAATATTTACGTCAATGTTATTATCGAAGGTTTCTTCAATTATGAAAAATTCTAACGATGTAAATATTCAGTTGAACTGCAATCATGGTTTACCGAGCGAAAATTCTCCGAAATTCAGCCATCTTCCAGATGCTGTGTGGTTCTTTGATGATATTACTTGGTATCGGAAGCATTTTCGTTGTTCATCACTGGAGTACGTACGCTGGTTTTGGAGTATGGGTCGGCTTTTGGGTAAGAAAAGATATAAACTTGATGAAACTTAGAGTAATCTGCAGAGTGGATTCGAATGCAGGAGTACATTTGCATTTCTGCTCATATTGCATGGTTCAGAAAAAATGTTAACATATCAGCTTCACTGTCAACGCTGTCAAAGCAAAATACATTTTAAATTATATTTTTTCGTAGAAGAAATTCTAGATGCGCCGAGATCGGGGAAATTTGAATGACGCAGAGGATATTTTGCCTTTCGCATGGAAAATACATAACATATTTTAAAAGAACGTAGGGAAGCTGTTCGCATGAGGGAGTTTTTATGCTGACTGCGAAATGACGGAAGGAACGGCTGAAGAAGCCCTAAGAACGTCTGTGGAGGGGGAAGGTAAATAAAGCGGGTGAATTTCTGCGAGGAAATGTGCGGAAATGTGCCAGTGTTTGTTCTCGGCTCCAGTGAAGCCTTTTTATACGAAGTACCTCATGTTCCTCGTTTAAATACCGTTCATTTGTCACTAACGACGTCCGCCATTTTCGTTGTTGTTTTGCAAACCAGCCGTGACGCGAGAAATAACATCATTATTTCGATCGGTTTCAATAATTCTGCTCCCTGAATGTTTGGAATATATTCCCCTTAATATTCCTTGCAAGAAATAGCAGGTCAATTGAAAAGATTGTGTGTTTCGGATTTTTCTATAGATTTCTTTTTCTTGATAAGATCGATCGACTTATGTTTTGAATGGCAGAACTTTCAAGATAGTGAGATAGAAAACATTGTTTTTTTTTTTCTTTTAACTGAGCAGATAAGATAAATTGAGAGAGAAAGAAAGACTTAAAAGCTGGCCGCGTGGCGAGAATTTTTCGTAGGCCATGAAGAAGAGCTAAAGCTCGAAACGTCAGTGTTTCAAAGACACGGATAAAATAAGTCCTGGCCTAGCTTTTGTTCGCTACAGTCAGTGTATAGTCCGCATGAATAGTGAATTTAGATTTTTAAGGTACATGTAAAGTTACATACACTTCATGTAATGCGATGAGATTTGTTTCTTTGTTATTATAACTATTTAAGCGTGTCCTTTATGCACATTTAATATTCTAAAATGGAATAATCATGTCATATCATCTATGGTTAGGTAATTATCAGTGGAGTTTTAGGATACATTGGTGCAAAAGAAGATACAAACCCAAACAAATGCCTGGTGAGAATTTTTCATTTTGTTAGCATATCTCCACAATTTTATCAAGAATGGAATGCATACATCATTCTTTCTAGATAAATCTCTAAAAAACTGCACTATATGTGATTAACCTACGGGATAGGTTAAAACTACAAATAACTGTGACGCAATGGCGGATAAAGAACGTAATTTCTGTTCTCAGCTCTAATTTTGGGGTGTGGACTTTTACTCATAATGGAATTGGGCATGAAAATGAACAAATGTTGTACTTAGAGACTGCAAAACTATAAGCATACATAAAAATGTATTATTATTATGATTCGATCTATGAAATAAAAAATTAAACCTAAAGTAATAAAAATACAAAATTTGTACGGAATGGGTAGAAGTGTTACGTACATGTAAATTTATTATACATCAGACTCACTATGAAAAATCTGATTGGTCGAGAGCATTCAATCAATTCACAATAGCTTGTGAACTTGACATGATAAATGCAATATCTGCTGCAGATATTGCATTTATCATGTCAAGTTCAACGTCTGCCTGGTTACCAAGCCCCTTGGAGTGTTCTCCTCAGAAACAGAATGGCTGAATGTCTTCTTTTGCCTATTGTTTAAAAAATGTATAATAAAACAATTATTGAATTCGGTTTTCGCATGATACAATGAATTATCAAAACCTCGTGCCTGTATTATCTGCCTCAGCCTTCGGCTTCGGCAGATAACACAGACCTCGGTTTTGATAATTCATGATATCATGCCCAACCTCATCCAATAATTGTTTAGTAATTGGCGATCGTTGGCTACAGATAATCCTTCTTAGTCCGACTAAATTTTGGTAAGGGGAACTCCCTTTAACAGCTCTAGAACTGATGGATTTCAGTAAGGAATTCATCAATAATTAAAGCCTTTCTTCTAAGTGAACTTTGAATATTTTTTTTCTTATAACTAGAACTACGTGTAACGCAAAAGCTAGCGAAGCAGAAGGAAAAAAGGGAAAAAATGGCAAGAGAAAACAAATAATATAATAAGAAGAACAACAACAACAAACAAACAAATTAAACTGTTCAGCAAACCTAGGCTTGAAATATATGCAATGGACTCATGAAATGTATAGAAAATACTTTCCAAGAAATAACCCCCTTAAAATAAATCTGTAAAGAACAAGGCCTTATCTCTAAGCCCATCATTGTAGACAACACGTGACTGGGGTATATGTCCTTTAATTTTTTAGAATGGCAATGAGCGGTCCTTTATGTTCCATTCACAAATACGAGCAAAAACATAACGCCAGTCCTCAATAACGTAATTATCTGAAACTCAACACTGCAGACTGCTAAATTTTCAGTATTTTTTTTTCTCAACTTTTGATTTTGGCTCTGGCTTTTAAAAGTGAATAACGTTTAAGACACTGGTCGGAGCAGGGCTTCCAAACCAAGCTAACCTAGTGGCGGCTTATTTAAATAACTTGGTGATTTATAATAAGCAACTAAAAAGTTGTTTTTGCATCTGTCCACAGATTGGATGTTTCCTGGGATTCTCCATCACTGCCTGTGTCATTGGTGTAATTATGTTCATCAGCTACTGCTTTGCTGTTAGCCAGTTTTCCAGCATCCTTAATTGCCGGGAAGATTGGCTTTTTGAAAGCACCACTCTTAAGAGGCCTTGTTCAGTCTCCCGGTCAGGTACAAAACGAGGTGAAGCTGCAGATGGAATGGGATTGGGTGTTTGCCAACTGATATTATCTGCACTGGTTTTCATTGTTGCCCTTGTTTCATCTATCTACTCCTGCAAAGCTGTGTGCTGTGGAACATCTGGCCACACCGTAAGTAGCATGACACGTTTCCTGACTTAATTCTTCTTAGTTTGTAACTTTGGTTGAATGTTCTACTTTGTTGAGACCCCGTTCTGACTCACCCACTCTTTGGAGTATTTACTGATCCTTGGAGCGATGAGGTTTATACTTTTCCTACTAATAAAAGATTTACCGAGACTGAAAAAAATTGTTTTATACTAATATATATGTTGAAGGTAAAATTGATCTCAGGTTAAAAAGCAGAATCTAATTTCCTTTGATTCAGAATTTCCTTTATTTCTTAACCTTAATTATCCCTTAATTATTAAACTGTCGTTTAACCTAAGATATTTCTCAAAACGCCATTGACATTAGTATTTCGGAGAACTGTTCCTATTATTTTAGTCACTAATTTTTTTATTTTGTTATTTCGTATAGCAGTTGCGTTAGCTCTTTCGCCATGCATGCATGTTCATTAGTTCTGCACTCATACCAAGACAACCAAGCTGCCACTTTGTAAGGTTGACGGAGGGTTTAACCGTTTTACTGAGGACAATTCCTCAGTCAGTACTTTTCCACTAATAAATTTCATAAGTACGTTCATGAGAAGATATCAATTCCCTCGGAGCCAAAACATGAAAACTTCTCAGATGAAAGCCGGAAAGCAAACAACCAGTATTTGCTGATTTTGTTATTGTTTTGCTATAACAAATATTTTTAGGCTACTACGCAGCACGTACTGTATGCTGGAACGCAACCAATGCACCCAGCAGGCCAAGCTGGTGTTGTGGTTACTCAACCAACTAGTGCCATAGCGACTACTCTTCACGGCGTTCTCGTGACAGGACAGCAGGCCGCTTTCTTACGTCCACAGGTAACCACAGACAGCAGTGCTGCATGCTAACAACTGCATATGCTAACAAATCGTTCGTTTAGTTCTGTAACACAAAATACCACAAGGCCAATAGCTGAAAAATCTCATCTAAGGAGTAAACATAGTTTAACAGCATATATTTACGCTACTAAGATAAATATAATGTTTGTTGCACTGGGGTTGCTGTTTCTCGCTCATTGTAATGAGGTTGACAGCAGGACGTTATAAGCCGAATTTCAGATTTTTTGTAAATAGCAGACCGAGGTTTCCCAACCTTTTGTACGGGCGCTAAGACAACGAGGAAAGACGAAGACATAAAAGAAGACTAAGTATCTTCTCGATTAGCGAGCGAGTCGCTCGAACAGCCCCAACATATGTTACTGGAGAACCCCCGGGTATCAATCCCGGTACCCTTCGTTCACCATTTTAAAAATGTCCTTTGGGTGTAGGTCTTCATTCTAACTGGGAAAATTGTTGCTTTACGTTACATTAAAACTGAAGTACCACTTCATTTACTGTAACAGTGTTCCAAATAAAAAAGCCTGGACGTAATCCATGTAAGAAACTTGTCATTGATTTCTGTTTGTATGTAAACCCATTTTAAACAGCAGGAACCAAAGGAACATGAGAGATCTCCGCCCTATTCATACGATACACCGACAGGGAATACTCCACCACAAGAGGCATTTACAAGCGGTGTATTTGAGGATATGTCTCCACCATATTCATACAGTGCACAGACAGGCAATGCCCCACCATCAACGGCGTCTGCAGGCGGCGTCACTGAGGATGTGCATCTACCATATTCATACAGTGTACAGACAGGCAATGTGCCACCATCAACGGTGTCTGCAGGCGGTGTCACTGAGGATGTGCATCTACCATATTCATACAGTGTACAGACAGGCAATGTGCCACCATCAACGGTGTCTGCAGGCGGCGTCACTGAGGATGTGCATCTACCATATTCATACAGTGCACAGACAGACAATGCCCCACCATCAGCAGCGTCTGTAAGCGGTGCTGCTGAGAATATGCGCATGCCTGCATGGGTAGAGACAATTTAAACAAACCTATCTCATTAGATTGACGTTTGTGTTAATAAGGTGGCATAGCTAAAAGTAATTGTAAATAATCAATTGTAAATTTTAATAGGCCATTTTGAGGTCTTTAAACACTATTGAGGCCCGATGCAAATTAAAGTGAGTTTTATTTGCATGACAATAAAAGGCTTGTTTGTTATGTATATGTTTTATCCCCGTTTTGAAATAGACAGAGGCGAATCCATAATGACCTACATGGACCAAGTTTTTGGGAAATATTTTAAAGTTAGCTTCTTACTTTGAAGCTGCGGGGCGAATAGCTTGAGTTGCGAGATCAGAAACTCTAGTAACCGAGATGAAGCCTTGTTTTCGTTCGTTAAGACGTCTAAAGCTACTTAACTTGGGCCTGATCTCTTGTTAGAAACCAGACAAAATTTTAGGCAGGGCAATGCTAATAGGTTCCTTAAGTTTTTTTCAGTGAAGAAATTAGAGATGATCATTTAATTTAAGTCGGTGGAACTGTGGGTTCTGTGTGAGTTAATATGGTGTTCCAGTTTTACAATGAGTAATACTCAGTGAAATCGAGGCCTGATAGTTCTTTATATTCTAACCCGTTCAGTTGAATTTGTAGCGTCACTAAGAACATAACTGGTGTCGCAGTTCGGTTTCCTCTATTTCGTACATTTTGTGAATTTAAGATTTTGAAAGAAATTTACTATTTTTTGAAACGAAGCTTTCTTAGCTATCAAAATACACCCGAATGGCACTCCTTTAGTAAAAAAAGTGTGGATCCAGGCGGATCTAAAAATGTTCCTTCGAGAGTCGTTATTTTCATCTCTTATTAATCCATGTATATATTATAATAAACTCAAGAGCTTAGAAGTCAAAATTAAAATATTGACGATGAAGTCATTATATATAAATCGTACCTCCCCATTAGTTAATGATGTTCTACACCCCAGCAACGAATTTACGATGTACATGTGCTCGGATGATGTCATTTTACCTATCAGCTGATATGTTATGATATTACTTGCACCGTTGTACCCCTGTCAGTCCTGAAACAAAAAATGACCTCTTTGAGCATTCTAATTTCTCTCTTTTGGCAGGCCAAAATAGAATGAATTCGAATTCTTCAAAATTTAAAGAGCTTATTATGTATAAAAAACGACACACTGCCGATGCCTACAATAGTATTTTAGGCATACCACAGACTAGTACAGTAACCATTCTAGGTCTCACATTTCAGCCGAACCGCAAATTCAGCACTCACCTTAAAGAAAAGTTACGTAAAGCTAATAAATGCTTGTATGTCATCAGATGCCTCCGAAAAGAAGGATGCAGCCAAGCAGAAGTAGACCATTTATTCTCTTCCATAGTTCTACCTAATATTACTTATGTTTTATCTGTGTATGGGGCCTCTGAATCAGAGCTAACTATAGCCCAGCAGTTTTTAGATCGATGTTTTAAACGCAGTTACATATCCAAGAAATTAGAGATAGGTGAATTACTTAGAGTGCAAGATCATAGAATTTGTAGGAACGTTTCTAGTATCCCGAACCACCCTCTTAGAGCTAATTTCCCTGAGACTAAGATTACAAGATACAACTTAAGGAATAAATCTCCCGCAATGCCCGCCATTCACACGGACCGTTTTAAGAATACATTCTTTAATAGAATTGTCGTTAAGTATAATGTAGCTTTGTAAAGGGTGTACTTTCTGTATTTGATTTTTGTATTTGTTTCTATGTATATACTGATCTTATTTAGAGACATACTTTAGCCTATTAACATTGTTATATTTAAATGTAACATAAGATATGTAATTTTATCTTTTGAATAATAAAGACACTTTATTTATTTATTTATTTATTTATTTATTTATTTACTAAAAGAACCTTTTATTTTGAGAGAGCTTAAACTACTGAGTTACAGCGGGGTCTCGTCTTAGTTCAAATGCTTGTCGTAACTAGAACTGGTCGCTTAAGAGTGGTGGCTAATAGAGGGTCGAATGTAGTGGGGATAGCTGGATGAGCAAACAAATCCTGTCTGAGGTCGGCAAATTGGAAACAAATTGGAGCGGATCAATATATCATCAATAACCCACCAAACCGCTACTTATTGTTATACCCACTTGAAATTTTGACGTCAATATAATTTCCGAGGTAAGTTTGTTTTTTTTTAAATCTTGGTGATCGATCGTCATTTTGATTTCTGCAATCATGGTTTATCGAGCACGAGTTCTAATAGGTTTAGCCTTCACTCAGATGATATTTGGTTCTTCAATGATAGTAGCCGGTATAACAAGCATTTTAGGAGCTATAGATCACTGGTCTACTAAGGCTGGTTTTGGAATATGGGTTGGCATTTGGGTGAGTAAAATTATTAACTCTCTAGGATTTAATTGTATCAAGAGTAAAATCTAGTAAGTACCTCATATTTAAGCTTACTTTTGCGTCACGTTATTCATTAAATTCATGGGACAGTTCTATGATAAAATATGCAATTCATGAGAGTGATTCTTCACTTGTTGTTTGTAAGACTCACGTTTTGAGTAAGTGAACATGCATTTCAGAACTCTTTCGGGACATTCTCTACTGGAAACAAATAAATAAAAGGTTTAGTTTTCGGCAGAAAAAAACAATGCTGTTGCGTTGACAAAAAGTGAAAAATACTGAGTTGATTAAGTCTATTTAACATACGGTAATAATATTCAAAAGGTGACCTTTAAAGCGCTACTACTTCGGTCCGACGAAGAGCTGGCTCGTGTTTGACAGCTATAAGAGGCACATCAACTCCCACTATAGGTAATTTGTGAAAAATGAATTTAGTCTTTAAGTTTGAAAGGCAGGGATTTTCACCTTGCCTCTATCATCAAGCTTGGTTTTTAGGTGGCTCACATCTGAAGGTGAATTTGTGCACGGCACGACTTTATTCAAGTAGCGTTCCCATGGCAACTCTTCGGTGACGTCTTTGCTTTCACCACTTCAATTTTTCAGACGAAAGAAACATTTACTCGATAAATTAAGTCTTCTTGGGAGTATCCTTTGGTTGGAAAGGATGCTAATAACAGTGGAATAGCACTAAATGAACACCAACGTATGTAAAAATTTAAAGCGGAAGTAAATGAACTGTACGTGCGTAAACGCGTACGCGGACTTCCTGTTCGCACGTTTTTTTACTGGTGTAAGGTAAATTTACGTAAATGTCACGTACATAGCGAAAATATGAATTTGATTTGAATTGAAGGTAAAAACGAGAATTTGGTTTTATTAACTACTCGGGGCCGACTATTTTACTTTTGAGGGGAGTATGCGGTTAATTGTAGAAAAAAATATCCTGCCGACTGATTTCGAGGGAAAAAAATTCTTGCAAGGAAATACCTAGGGGAAAAAATTTCCTACACTTTCATGGCTTATAATCCTGGAAAAAAATCTTACACCGTTACATTGTATGTCGGGGAAAAAAATCTATCACCAGAGGTTTGGAGAAAAACAAATTCTCACCGAAATCAAATTACTATAGTCCCCGCCTCCTTAACTCCACCCACCAATTAACCTATATCCCCCCCGGACAAAAGTCAAATGAAAATTTAAAAGAATGCAGACAAGATCATCACATTTAAATACGCAACTTATGCATTTGGGAAATTAAACCTTCATTTATTTCTTTATTTCGCTTTTCAAAAATATATTATTCATATATTCATTATTTCTGGCTTAATTGACTTAGAGCGGCTTCTGTCTTATGACTGGGGGTCTACAAAATACGATACTGCTATCGGCTGTGACAATGCTCGAGGCAGTCACTCAGGGGACAGGTGTCAACAGCACTGCTTTTCAGACTAATAAACGACTCGAAATTAATCTTTAATTCCACAATTTGGAAAGCTTCTTTCGTCAATATCATTATCTATTAAAAATTTCTCATTTCAAACAATGTATCGATTTTTTTACCTCCGAAATATTAATGAAAAATCTTGCTGATTCCAAGTTGTGTCATGTGAGTTGTATTGTATGCTGTTAGGTGCTGATCAGTGGATTGTTAGGGTGCATTGGTGCAAAAGATGTTACAAACCCAAATAAATGCATGGTTAGTATCCTTTCTATTATTTCAGCAGATCTTGTTTTGAATGTACAAAACCCAACCGCACAAAGCCTAAGAATCACCGCTGCCTGTTTATCTGCGTGGTAGCCCTGGCTTTGATCCCAACAATGACAGCAAAGTAGATGCTACCAGTTGGTTTGTTAACTCAAGAGGTAGAGCGCTGCACCGGTATTGCAGGGGTCACGGGTGCAACTCCTGTGCAAGCCTTTATTTTTTTAAAGTTTCTTTTCGCTGTTGCAAAAATTGCGTCCACAACGTCGTCCACAACTGTGATAAAGTTCTTCACATTTAAGAACTGCCATTTTTAACATTTATGGTACTCCTTTTCTAGTAAATCTATATAGTTCTAACTTTTGAGTATGAGGACACGAAATATTCTGTTACGTTATTGTGTTGCCATTCAAATAAAAATCCTGTTCAACAGCGCATACGCTACGTAATATTTTCCGTTTATATAGCAAAATTAATTTGGTAATTAAAATTTGCGATAATTCTTGAAATTTGAACTTGCCCTTTGCCATCTATTAAACTGGCAGTTTTATTTAATTCGCGACCAGAGTGGCACAGCAAACGAATTTGAAGGATAGCAATAAATTAACAGGTGATCTTTATTAATAGTTATTTTTGCATCTGTCCACAGATTGGATGTTTTATGGGATTCTCCATCACTGCTTGTATCATTGCTGGAATCATGTTCATCTGCTACTGCGTTACTCTTCAAGAGCTTTCCCACATTATTCATTGCAGGGCTGATGATTTTTGGCGGAGTCTTGACACGTACTGTTACTCACGTTCTGAACGAAACAAAGCCTCATTTGGTTTAGAGGTAGGATCTTGTCAACTGACATTTTCCGTGGTGGTTTTCTTTGTTGCCCTCGCTTCATCCATCTACTGCTGCAAAGCAGTGTGCTGTGGAGTTCCTCCTGTAGGCAGAGTAAGTAGCATATAATGATTCTCGTTTGATTTTCTCTATCATGGTGTTCGTTACTTCGCCCCGTATAAGGGAATCCAAGACAGTTTTGGATTCTGAATTCCACGCCCTGGATGCCGGGTTACAGGTATTGGATCCCAGTCTTTGTCAGGGGAAGTTTGATTCTGTATTCCAGTCGTTTGTGGGATTCCGGATTCCTTGAGCTGTGTTTTGGATTTCAAAGCCCAGGATTCGGGATTCCACAAGCAAAATTTTTCCCAGATTTCGGATTCCACAGGCAACAATTTCCCGAATTCCGGAGTTCACATTGCATAACATGCGGCGAGTTACTTATCGTGAACTGTGGTGCCTTTGTGTCGCCCTTTCTTACCCATTGATTTCATTCGAATATGATAAGGTTTTCTGTCATCATGAAATTTATAGGTCGGACTCGGAATTAAAATAAAATTGGTATCGGTTATCTTAAGAACTAATTACTGGCTCGAAGCTGACGTCTTCAGATTTAATGTACATGGAAGCCTTTCGTTGCTTGATCGTGCTTGTTATCTCGACAAGTCACAGAACAGTACCATTGATATCGATGTCTTTGTGTTGGTATCGAGTGCGGTTCTTTTTAAATTTTAATGTGTGATATAAACGATTTGGAGGAAAAGTCATTTAGATTTTAAAAAGGGATAATTCTGTTAACATTTTAGGTTGCCTCTCAGCAAGTGATGTATATTCCTCCTCAACAAATCTACCCAGGAGGCCAAGCTGGCGTTGTAGTTATTCAACCAAGTGGTGTCATAGCAAGTACTTCTCATGGTTACCTTTTGGCTGCAGGACAGCAAACAGTCTTCTTACCTCCACTGGTAGCTACTGCTTCTAGCTAACAAAAAACAATTATGTAACGAAAGTACCGTCAATGATTACAATAGTTTTGTGTAAAATTCATCGACCGATTCAATACTTTGAACATTATTTTGGGATGTTATCTCATATGTACTATCACTTAGCCGCTTTGGAAGTTTGTATTGTACGTAACGGAACTAAGTTTCTCCCCGTCCGCCACGTCTCAGCTAGTAAGTTTCCCTCCTTTTTTCATGTCACCCTTGATTACATTCAAATATCTGAAACCGTTTTTAACAGAAAGAAGCAAGGGAGCATGAGAGACCTCCACCATATTCCTACAGTGCAGGGAATGGAAATGCCCTACCATCAACTGCGTCTCTAAGCGGTGCTGCTGAGGATGTGCATCTACCATATTCATACAGTGAACAGACAGGCAATGTCCCACCATCAGCGGCGTCTGTAAGCGGTGTTACTGAGGATGTGCATCTACCATATTCATACAGTGCACGGACAGGAAATGCTCTACCATCAACGGCGTCAGCAAGCGGTGTCACTGAGGTTGTGCATCTACCATATTCATACAGTGCACGGACAGGCAATGTCCCACCATCAGCGGCGTCTGTAAGCGGTGTTACTGAGGATGTGCATCTACCATATTCATACAGTGCACGGACAGGAAATGCTCTACCATCAACGGCGTCAGCAAGCGGTGCCACTGAGGTTGTGCATCTACCATATTCATACAGTGAACAGACAGGCAATGTCCCACCATCAGCGGCGTCTGTAAGCGGTGTTACTGAGGATGTGCATCTACCATATTCATACAGTGCACGGACAACCAATGTCCCACCATCAACGGCGTCTACAGGCGGTGTCACTGAGGATATGTCTCCACTTTATTCATACAGTGCACGGACAGGAAATGCTCTACCATCAACGGCGTCTACAAGCAGTGTCACTGCGGATGCACCCGCATGGGTAATGACAATTTAAACAAAACGGTTGCAGTAAAATTGATGGGAGTTGTCTCAGTACATTGTATTTGTGTTAATAAGTTAGCATTTACCTGAGTTTGTCTGTAAATAATTTATTGTAAAATAACATCGGCAATACGACAGTATGAATGATACAGCTGAACTGGAACCTTCCTCGTCAAACGATTAGGTTTGCTCCAGGTTCACACTAAAATTTCATTCTGATGCTACATGTTGTACTGTACTTACGTTTCCTAACTTTTTCCGAGGTCCCTTAAGACCTTGAGCTACAACCACATTTTTCCACAGACATTGTGATAAATCAAATGGTCGCAACTGCTAACTGACGCCTTTGTAGTCCAGGTGAGGTCCCTTAACCTTCGCCCAAGAACTTGCTGCAAGGTTGCAGTAAAAATAAAAGGCGGGGTGAGCTAACCTTAGTTTGGCCTCTGACCCTCGACTTTCGGAAGTGGGTTGGAGGCGCGAGAAAGGAGTCCTCTCCACTCGCGTGTCTCCCTTGAGCGCGCCCGTTCTATCTCGCACCAATTAGTTCGTAGCGCCCGTTGCGCAGGCTAAATCCACTTCAAAAAAGCTTAATTTCATCCCTACTATACTACTAGAGTTCGATGGGCCCAACGGACTGTGTGTGTATCTTATCATTTGAAAGGTAAACAGTCTTATTTTGATTCTGGAAACCTCTGAAAATCGATCATACTAAAAGCAAATTGAAGACAATGCTTGTTATTTAAAGTTTAAGTTAAGAAGGTGGGTAGATCTTCCCGTAATGAAAATTTTATCATTTTTGTATCCTGAAGACTCGTTATAACTGAATAACTGGTTATGGGCTCCTGCTTTAGCCCATTTTTGTACTGATCATTGTTGAAATTGTGAATACTTCATTTACGAGAGTTTTTAAGTTGGATTTTATGAAAATGGTCTTAAATTACAGACATTATCGTGCTAAAAAAGTTTTCCACACGCCACTCAAAAATCTTTGACAACTCTGGTGGGTTCGATATAACGCTGAACAAGTCAAAATCCAAGGTGTTGCGGAGACGGAATCGTGCAATTTGGAACGCTTCAATTACTTATTTGAAACTCCTTCTTCGCCTTTTTGGATTTTGATTATTACTGCATTACAGCCAAATCTCGTTATTGCGGACACCCCAGGAACCGCGAGTTAGTGTCCGTAACAGCGAAGGTCCGAAGTAACTGCAATATATTTCAGTCAAACGTCTGCAATTTCTTTCTGCCCTAATGTAGTTGTTTTCCGCATTACTGGGTTGTCTGTACGTAAACGCGAGGACTTCGCAAGGCCAACAGGTCAGCTGATAGTATATGGAACCCACGAAAATTCTTCAACGTTTAAAGAAAACATGACAAAACTTGTCAATAATTTGTAGATTAGCGACGGCAGTAAGATCATGAGATTGAAATGCATATCACTTTTTTGACAACCTGTTCCAAAATTTTCTAAGCAGACTTTTCTTTGACTTTAGAAACTCTTCAATTTCCACTTCTTCATTCATTTTTGCATAGTCAACCGCATCTTTACCATCTGTTGTGGTCAGGTTTACATCAGCCTTAAGTTCAACAAGCCTTTTAACAACTTTCATGTTTCCACGAATGGCTGCCAACTGTAGAGGAGTAAACCCGTCTGCGTCTGGGGCATTAATGACTGCACCATGCTCTGCTAGAAGTTCCACAACTGCTACGTCGCCGATTTCACAAGCAATGTGAAGAGCTGTCTTGTCTTTTATTTCGACTGTACATTCAGAATGAGCTTTAAGAATCTGTTCTCTCTTACTATCTGGTGGGTCTGTACCCCATCCTGATGCAAGGACAGTACCAAAATCGGCCACGTCCAGACTGCCACTTTTAATCCGTTTGTAGAACAAACCAGTCAAAGCCTTCTTCACTTCAACAAAGTGCCAAGCTGGTTTTCCTTTGTCCTTGCCACGCACCAGTATCACTCTGTCATTTCGATCCTGTTTGTCCCGTTTCCCCACGTCAGCATTGTTCTCTAGCAACATTTTGACGACGTGTTTTTGTTTGTTTTGAACTGCTAGATGAAGTGGAGTCCTGCCAGTGGTTGATTGCAAATTGACATTGCACCCCGATTCTATTAAACACTGTGTTATATTAGCAGACCTACAGCTTGCAAAGTGCAGTGCTGCCTTTCCCTCCATCTGCTCTGCATCTGTATCAGCCCCAATCTTAGTTAGAAGGTGGACAGCCATGTAATTGTACCAGTCTGTTGCCATTATTAAAGGCGTACATTTGTCTTCTCTTCGAGCATTTGCTTCAGCTCCAAGATCAATAAGGGTCTTAATAAACTCACTGGAACATCGCAGACTAGCCCACAATAAAGGGGTTCGATTACCCTTGGCTGGGGAATTGACGTCCAAACCATGATGCAAAACAAGTTCCACAGCCTTTTCCGTGTCATTGTAGTCACTACATTCGTGTAACTCAGTCAAAGTTCTGGTCTTTTCTAGCCTTTCTTCACAGAATCGCTTTATCTTCTCATGATCATGTTTTTTAAGTGTTGAGAGCATATCATGTGCAGTCTTTGATGGAAACGTCTTTGCGTTATTTGCTGTCGACTCGAAATTCAACTCTCTCACAAAGTCATCAAGGAAGATACTGGCAGTTAATACACCTTCAAAATTTCCTTCATAGACCATGGCCTGGAGGAGATTGAACCCTGAGTGTCGATCGACTGTTACGAAGGCCATTTTAGAGAGGGACTTCAACGTACTCTGCGATTGGATAAGAGACAATAATAGGGCTGTTGGAAAGAGACAAAATAAGCCGCGGTTTACTCTGGCCTCGGCTAACATAAGACGCGAAAACAACTATTTATACGAGCAGGGCTTACATAAAAACAGAACTGCTCGTATAAATGGTTCACGGCTTATTTTTATTCTAACTAGTCCAGTGATAACATAATTAGTTTTTTTGGTTCCTTGTTTTGATGTGCATTTTGAGTGAGCAAAAAGGCGAAACGATTCACTGTGTCAAAGAAACTGCGCCATATTTTCTTTGTCTGTTTCGTTTCAAATTATAATTCCAGTCAAGATTGGTATTACACTCCAAAACAATCAATCTATCAAAGAAAGTCGCGAATCTCCACAAAAAGATGGCAAGCGACAAACCGAATGCTTTTAAAGTGATGTTTCGGGAAACAAACTGCTGTCTGAAGTCACACGTGCTTGACATTTTTTACTACTAGCGAATGGACCGAAGCAAATAAAAAAAGGGAGGTCTAGGCCACAATAACAAAACAGCGCATGCTCATCAGTCGTTCACGGCTTCAGCAAGCTGCGGACAGCGTTTTAGTCCAAGACAATCCGCAGCTTGGATAATCACAGCCCAAAACTCCTCAGCAGGATAAGCCGCGGCTTGAATAAGCCATGACCTTACCGTGTTTCCGTCTTATGTAAGCCGCGGCCAGAGTAAACTGCGGCTTGTTTTCTCTCGTTTCAACGGCCGTATTGTTACTCACTCATTTATTTTACTTGCTATGATTAATCAAGATAAGAAAACTAACAGACAAATTACCACGATTCCCTTGTACTAAAATATACGCGCTTGGAATTGTAATGAACAACACCTTAAGAGGCAGTTCTGGAGCAAACTGCGCTAGGGTTATGAATTAAGGATACAATCACTGATGTTCAAGAACACCTTCAGACCACAAAAGAAAGACATTAATTTCCCCGGGGGGGGGGGGTACTCCCTTATAAGGGCTTAATGGGGACGTGCGGCCAGCCAGGGTATGTTTTTCGGGATTTTTGTCTTAAACAGGGTATCGATTTTATCAATTTGTCTTTTTTTAAACAGGGTATCTTTTCTAGGACGATAAACAGCCTGCGTGACTCTGTTGATCAAGCTGTAAATAGTTTTCTGACTGCCAATGGATTAAATAAGAACGAGTTTCGATATTTGTTATTGTCTTACATAGGGTATGGTTTCGGGTTAAATGTCTTAAACGGGTAGGAAAATCAGCGATTTTTGTCTAAAACAGGTTCAGGCAGTATGAAGGGCCGGGCCGCACCTCCCCACCCAAGGATTTATCGAGTACCCCCCTCCCCCTGGGATTAATTCATACCAACAGCCATAATGGCTCTTGTTCATACTCATGGTGTAAGCAAACTGAATAGCATCGGCCAACGTTTATTCCCCGTCTTTCATACCGGTTCACAATCAAAGACTTATTCGTAGAAACTGTTTGCAAGGAAAGCCCATTATAAGTAGTTTTATTTCAATGCCTACATCTTGGTAATAGTGCCTTCCTATTGGGAAGCACTGGAGTATCTTGGGCAAGATTTCTCTGTTTTGAATAGGTAAGTAAACCTAGCCTCCTTACCGGCTGATGATAACTTTGAGTAGCACCGTATTTCTGGAGAATCTTAATTATTGATTGATGGTTGTGACGTTCAGCTTTCTGCAGAGGGGTTTTCTGAAACTAAACGATATTTTGACAAAAATGAAATATGTGTAAGAGGAGACTGAGGTTTATTAGTTTTGCAGGCTGGCTTCATGTCACGAATGACGAAGCCCCAACTTTCGCATCATTTTGCGGTGGCCTTTTGATATATTGAAGCTAAAACAAAATCCAAAAATTTGACAACTGCTAACATCTTACCTAATTTTAACACATCATGCATTATAATTTTATTCAACCTAAGAAATGTCTCAACATGCCAACAGAATACCTATTGCATTATCATTCCATGTATCCTCCTATCGTTAATAAGGTTGCGGTCACCACTGAATACAAAATCACCAACTTACAATATCTGTCGCGTTGACATTTGCACCGCCTTCTAATAACAGTTTGACAACACTTTCTTGTCCATACCAAGCAGCAAGATGAAGAGGCGTCAACAAAAACTAAAAACGTGAAGAGGGCAATATATATAAGTTTCTTTAATCTATCAACAAATTTAAAAAAAATGATTTTTGTAGTTTTAGATCACACCTTATCGCCTTGGTTTACATCTTCACCAGAATTAAGAAGCATCTTCACAGCCTTTGAATTTCCATTAATAGACTCCTTGTGTAGCTTACTTCTGGATGCCTAAATCAAAGGTACTTTTTTAGAAATTACGATGGAACGTAACCAGGGAAAAACGTTCAGTTCTGATAAAAAAAATCACCGCCAAAAATATAAAAAGCCAGTGAAAATAACATGTAAATTAACCACCGGTTTCGATGTCTCTGACGGCCTTGTTTATTAATGATTACCAGTTAATGTAGCCTCCCACGCGAACGTTCTTAAAGCTTCGTCACAGGTGACGAACCCCTAAGAACATCTGCGTGGGAGGCTACAGTTAATGACCAGAAGCAACCTGAAGCAGACTTCCTGGGAATCAATCAACCTCAGTGGAGACAACTTAGACAACAATGTCGCAGCGTTAAATAAAGTACTTAAGGGATTCATAGCGCATCAGGAAAAAAAAGCACAGACCTACCTTTGCCTCTTGTCCTCTCTTTTCCCAGTCTGTAACTGTGGGCTATGCACAAGCGAAATAGCGCAGTAAAAAGAATGTTAGCATTGTTAAAACTAACAACAAGACGCCTGTTCCTCTTCTCTCTCCCTCTCTCTCTCTCTCTACCCCTCTCCAATACATGAGGCCCCAGTTGTTCAAAAGGTGAATAGCGTTATCCGCTAAATAAATTACTACTCGGCAAAGGGTAACGCAATTGGTTTTCGTACTACTTATCCTCTGGATAGCGATTTATCCGGTGGATAGCGCTATCCAGCGTTTAAACAACCGGGGCCTGCTCTCTGTCCGCGATTGACGAGCGAGAACACACGAGCGAGCTGCGAAGCGACAAGTGGAGTGTCCTTTGCTGGCTTGCTCGCGTTTGACTCACGATATCCCCCATGTAGAGAGCTTGCTTGTAGGGTAAGTTCTTGTGGCAAGTCCTTGAGAATTACGTTATTCAGACAAGGGGATGGGGGTAAGTGTCACGGTAGTAAGAATTATGCAAAAAGAGTCATATGATCCCATAAAAGAGTCATTATTCTCTCCTTCAGGAATTGTTACGTACTTTACTTCTTGAAATTACATAAAATTAAACAATCTTATAGATCATTATGGTGGCAATACTTTCTGTACCTGTAAGATAACGGAATAAGTGAAATAAATACTTTACCGTTTGAGAATCAGCAGCCGGCCCCTGAGACGTTTGCATGACTGTATCATGTGTTGTACTGGACACAGGAATGTCGCAGTGGCTTGTCAGAGCATGCCCTTCACGTAATGCGCCTGATATATCTGTTAAGTTTCCTTCCGCTAATTCTGGTGTAGTTTGCTGACACTGTTGCAGTCTTGGTAAATGCGACATGTAGTAGAACCCTCCTGAGGCTTCATTCGTGCACTGTAAGTCCACCTATGGAGAAGTGATTAATCAATCCATAGTTAATAAAGTGGAATGGTTATGAAACCCGTTAGAATCCTTTTTCGTATGTTTTTGTTATACGTTTTTGTTAGCTTGTTTGGATCTGAACTTACTTACTAAGAGAAACATCGGATCAATTTATTCAGTCAATTTGTGAACAAAAGACAAAGGATTGTGCTCGGTCAGGAAGCTTCCAACATAAACTACAGCACCGTTGGCTTCAACGTTTGCCGGCTTTCATAACCAGTCTCTACTAACTATGATCAAATCTTATCTGGGGAGTTTACACAAGGTCAGTTCCATCATAAAGATAAATACAGAACTCGACAACCAAACATCATATGTGTCTACATAAGTAGTCTAGTAGGGACGGAATTAACCCTATTATGTACAGGAATCTCCATAAATTGATCAGGTATACATTAACGCTAAGAGCCTTAATATGCACGATTTGTGCGCCAACAAATAGTGATCCAGAGCTGGAACAATTTGTTGTCCGCTATAGTTATGTTACGGCGCCATGACTTTGATTCACAGGCGATCGCGAGTTAGCGTTTTTTAATACTCCTTGGACAACATGAATCAGCCAATAAAAACTTTTCTTAGTTATTAGTCACCCGATCAAAAAACCAAGAAAATCATCGGCATAAGAATAATTGAACAACCTGTCAAACCGGTTAAACCACCTAAAATCAACACGCGCTGTTGTCTTAATGCGAATTCCTTACATTTCACTTGCGAGATAGAGACAAAGGCTATGACGTTATCGGCGTTAATGTATTCCTGCGCAAAAAGGGGTCAATTCGGTCCCCACTGTACTACTTACACAAGATCAATACAGTACATCAAAAGATATTTTAAAAGCTAATCGTCATACTCACTGGACAAAGATTGACCCTATAGATAAGCTGTTCTATTTGTGTTTTGATTAATTGTGCTTTTCTAAAAAGACTTGTATTTAAAAGGGATAATTTTAATAGCATCTTTTCTACATAAAAAAATTTCTTTCGTAAGCAAAAATTAACAGAAAACGTTAAGGTTCATAAGACAATCACGACGTCATGTGTCCTGCTTAATAGCAAATTTGTATTTGCCTCGAAACAAAGTTAACAGCAAAGTAGTTTTGATAATCATCTAAATTTACCTTGCCTTTGTAGCCAAGCCTGTAAGTACCTTCTGAACCAGAATGCCATGCGACTCTAACTTCACCTGTTGGGTTTTCCTCCCATCTTGTTATCTCTGTCGCTGTTCCAAACTTCCCAGGTCCACCATCTTCATCACCATATTGCCAATCAGGTCCTCTTGTGACTTTGGTGCCAAGGAAAATCCCTCTTAATTGAATTTTCTTTGTTTTGCTTCGTCTTTCTACCGGTGTTCTTAATTGTTGTTATGGAGAGGAAAAGTTAAGACAACGACGTCTTGTATACCGTAGCTGATTGAAGTCGGTGGTGTTTATAAAATTTTTAGCGCTTCTGATTTAAAATCACATATCTTAAATCACTGACAACAAAATTAACGTAAATCTTTTCAATGATCACGTGCAAATATTATGTAAAACAACAATTTTAAAGATACCATGCTTTTCTTGACTTTTATGTATTACTGAGTCGTACCAAGTACTTTTTTCTCTTGTAATTCTCGAATAAAGGCAAGTTGGGAGATTATTAAGATTGGGTGAGGTGTTTGTTCCAGGGCGGCATTCAATCGTGTAAAGATTATACATTGTCATTAAGCGTCTTTCTTTGTTATAAGATTTTATGGCAATGAATATTGTAAAGGGTCAATTTTGTCCCCTGGTACCTTTGGCCAGGATGACCATTATAGAAACTTGTTTCACTGCTTTCGGTGCTTTCACTGATGTTGTAGTGAGGTGAAGTTGCTGTTTTGGTTGCTATTAAGACGACTTTGGATTACACATTTTTCAAGAAAGTGTACTGTATTTGTCTTTCGTACTCACCCGTCTTTTTCACTAGAATCAAATCTCAGGAAGCTATGATCTCTGTCATGTTTATCACGCATGTAACATGATGTGCACAAGTCAACACTTGATTCCTTACAGTCTAAACACTTCCATCGTAATCCAGCTATTGGACATTGCTCACAAGCTTCGCACGTTGTCCCTCCATGCGCTATACCTAGAAGCAAACATTAACAATGCTGCCATCAAGTTATTTGCAAAAAAACACGACTGTTCTGTCTTGAAAGTGAAGAATCACGGAAACATTCAATAGGCGCTAACTCCGATAAACTTAAATCGTTCTACAGTCAAACTTCGTTCATGCGGACACTTAGCGGCCATAGACAGTGTCCGTAAAAGGCGGTTCATGTTATTGAAGTAAAAAAATACAGTACACAACCTTCTATTTGAATAAAATACCAAAATAGAAACGAAATAAGACAGGACATTAGCATCGTCAAATTAAACGTCTGTAACCTTCACAAATCCGTAATTCCGCGGACTGTGTCTACGGAAACACTTAAAAGTCGCTGATTTTATTATTAATTAATTATTAATCATGAACCGTTCTCTGCGTAACTCGTGTGATCCCTAAATAGTCTGAAACTGGCTTCTACAATTTATTCTGTCCGGGGAGACGTAGTGTTAGGGACACAGACATGCTGTTATCTGAAGGTTTTTTTATTCGTTCAAAAAGGACAATTTAACTTCCGGGCGGGGGGTACTCCCTATGATGGCCTATACGGGGAGGCTCCACCCGAAAGGGGTATCTTTTTCGGGCCTCAGGTATATAGAAGGGTAGGGATATCGTTGAAGTATATAAAAGGGTAGTGAAATCTGTCATTTGGGTCTGTGAAAGGGCCCAAAAGGGCAAACAATGCAGTTTTCTCCAGAAATTTTTGAGTAGCCAGCTCCCAATGCAAAGTAACTGGTGCCTGACACCAAGCGCCGATAGAGCGCGAGTCTCTAAGGGGGGGTTGAGGGCCTGCTCCAATGGAAAATTTTAAAAAAATAAAGGCCCACAGATGCAATCTGATGCATTTTGAGGCTTAAGCAACAGGAAAATCAAGGTCAATTTAAGGCTGCCTGTCTCCAGTTTTTTAATGGAAAAGTACACAATTCACGAGAATCCTAGTTGAAAGTAGCAATGTACATAATTTTTTTTTCAAAACCCTTGTTTACATGCAAAGTGTTACATTGATTCCAAGGTGTTTTATTTAAAAATATTATCTGACAATGTCTAACGAAAAATCATTCAGTGAATTTATCGATAATACCATTAGCAAAAGACAAATTGTCTTATACACCAAAGAGCTTTTATTTACGATAAGTTATTGTTTTCGTTTCCTTTTTGACCTTCCGAAAAATTCAAGATAAAAGGTACAGACGGTTTTTTTGTTTTGAGTGCAATAAAAGTAACCGGCACTTTGGAAAAGAGTAGCCAGCGAAACCGACGGTCGCCCGCGCTTCTGGAGAACACTGGCTTTTTATAACACATGACTGAATTTTATGGCTTTATAAAGTCGAGAGGACGTTCTATTTTTGTGATTGATTCCTATTTAAAAGACAGTGCATTTACAGCGGTTAAAAGGGATGTAAAGTTCTTGACAAGGTATGTGAAAGGGGTGCCATTTGTCAATAGAAGGTATACGAAAGGGGTACCTTTTTCGTGAAAAATGGTATATAAAAGGGTAAGGGGTTAGACCTCGGGGTGGATCGGGGTGGAGCCTCCACGTATAAACATTTGTTGAATACCCCCTGGGGTTTACTTTATTAAATAAAGTGTCCGCATTTAATAGCGAGGTTCATTTTCTACAGGAGCCGGCCTGTTTTCTATGATAATCTGTTGATAATCGAGAATGGCCTGTTTCCTATCATCCAAACAGCTGGAACAATCTGATCCGCATGCGTACACGGAAATGGAGGTGAGAGTGAAAGTGTAGCTTCTGTTTTTTACGTCATTTTTTCTTTCGCTTTCTTAAAGCCTGAAGTTATTATGTATGCAATGACTAATCAAACGAAATAGAACAAATGTCAACACAAGCACAGTAGTAGCTTGAAGAAATGTCTTTGTTTTTTCAGTTGCATGGAAGTTATAACAGGGAGCTTCTAATTGGTTGCAATTTAGTATCAAGCTTCACTACTGTAAAAAGCACGTTTCAAAATAAAACAAACCCTACAAATTATCCTCTCCAAACCGAGTACAGTAAATTTTCGCTATCTTACCGATAGACGCATTATCCAAAACAAAGATTTGTTGCTGGTCGTGATGCCCCGCACTGTAAGTTTCCTTAGTTCCCGTGTCCCACTGTATCACTGCTGTATTGTCCCGCGATAATATGAGCTCAGTAACTGTCCCTATAATTCCCTGAGTGCCTTCAGTATCAAGCGACCTGCATCTGAGAACTCGAAGGCCCACGCTGAATGTACTGGCGGACAAATTTTTGAATCCGTGGTGATTTTCATCATTCCTGTCTTGTGTTAAATAAGAATTTTTTGGGACAAACGACAATGGCTTAGACGTGGTCGGCATAGGGTTAGAAAACGGACGAGCTTAGAGACATTAGACGATCGTTTGAGGGAGATACCTGGCGTGACTTTACAATTTGGAGAGTAAGAAAGTTAAGTCACGTGAAACAATTAAAAGACAGGTAGGCGTGTGAATCTCAAGCCCTTACATTTTTCAGATATCTGAAACTATTTAGCTGTTTAAGTAAAGAAAAAAAGTCGAAGGCAGGGGAGAATCTCACTACAAAATTCAAGCAGGGGGACAATTACGAGCTCTATAGATATTTTTAAGGATTCGTTATGAGTTGAACGCGTAATAAAGCCAGAAAAGGCTGTGCATGCGTAGTGAGCGTTTTCCTCAGTGCTGACGTCCGTCACAGGCTACAAGGAAAATTGGCATCGTTTATTCTTTTTAGGAGTTTCATTCATTCTTAGCTACATGCGAGCTGGAGTACTCAAAATAAAACCTGAATGCAAGGCTGGCAAGGCTTATTTTCCAGTATCCGAGGCCAATATTTCGGCTTACAAAATTAGCTTTCTTCAGGAGGTAATTTAGTCTGCTACACAGCCGTTTTTAGTGTCGTCACGCTACTCACCTCCTCCTCCTCCTCCTGTGGAGCCGAGCGTTGCGTGACGACACTAAAAACGGCTGTGTAGCAGACTAGAGGTATAGTAATTTTGTTAGCCGAAATATTTGTGCCAAATAAGTCAACCATGCTTTTTTGTCAGCCTTGCATGACTCTTGCATTCAGTTTTGTCTTAATTTCCACTTCAAGTGACCTCTGGTTCTAGCATCTCTTCATTACGGATCAAGAAGGGACCAGTCGGTTTAATTTTATACCGGCGTTGAGGTTCGCGTTGAGTAGAACCTGCTTCTTGAATTTTAAAATTTAGCCTTCAAAACTTTAATCTCGCACCCACACAATACCGCCAGCTATGCAGGCTATTTAAAATTGTGATACTCATCTTGGTCTGCGTCAAGATCATCATCCAGGCGGCTACCCCTCCCCAGTTTTTACCCTCTTCAACATGACGTCAATGTTCAACCTCGTGCCCTGGGGACGAATCTGCGTCAATGTTATTATTCTCGAAGGTAGTCAAGGAAAGGTCGGGAAAGTCATGCAAGGAAGAGCGTCGTCGCCATTTTGATTGCAGTCACGGTTTATCGAGCGTCTGCCCTCCGAGGCTTAGCCATCACTCAGCTTGCATTTGGTTCTTTAATGATAGTATTTGGTATTGCAAGCATTATCGCTGTACATCACTTGTCTTCCTACGCTGGTTTTGGAATATGGGTCGGCATTTGGGTAAGGAATCGAAACTGTATAGTTTAAGTTGAACGAACTTGATGCGCAATTTTTGTAGCTCAAACGTAACTAAGATTCAAGGCATTTTTCGTTCACTTCGGGTGGTTTGGTGTATTTCACAGAAAACTGAAGATGGGATACAAAATGGATGTCTGTTTACAAGTTATTGGTTTTTATTATCTGAACTAAGTTGTTGGTTGTACATTGTAACTTAAAACTCTGCTTGCAATACGCGCATTAGATATCAGTTAGAGGTGATTTGTTACTGGGCTGCCCGGCAAGCCCAGTCATAAAATGGGTTTTCGGTCGTCGGTGTCACAAAACGGTCATCCGGGGGAGGGAAAACACGAGGGTCTGGTACCGAGAAACGATGTTCTCACAACAATGGTTTCATAGGATTTTCTCTTGCACGAACCCTTGCACGGATGCTTTTTGCACCTCGTCTTTGCTCCCCCTGAAAAACCCACAAGGCGTTGCGAACCTGAAGAAGGCTATTTGCGTTGTTCGAAGCGATTCGATCATAGGAGGACAGGAGTTACTCTATAATTTTTTTATTGTTCGAGTTTAAGTCAGTTAGATGATGTTGGCGCTGGGAAAATCAGAGAAATGCTCACGTTGCATACAAACCGACACGCCGTTCACGGTAGGTTCACACCAAAAGATGACTGTGAGCGTCAGCTTTGGAACGCCGGGGCCGCTTCGTGAACTCAAAGAGAGAATTATCGTTCGATGTAGTACATGAGCAATTAAGAAGCACAATTTATGAGCAAAGTAATTCACCAGTTGACAACACTATGGCTGAAGACTTGATTGTAAGCTGTCGTAGTCAGTTAAGCGAACAACTCAGTTGCCGATGAATGGCACTGCGCACGTCCATGAGCCAAGGACGTGACAACTTTGCCATGTTAGAAGACTGGCTTTTCCTTTAAATATCTCATTCTATTTAACGCAACACAAGCCACTTTGGAGGTCTAAATTTCGCATGCTGCAGGATAAAGAAGACACGGACAAAAATAGGGACTCTGAGAATTTCGCACACAAGTTTAAAGCTTCACCGGGACATCCCATCTGGGAGCTTCACAGAGAGCGACTTGAGGAAAATAGGAGCTATTACTGACAAGGTTTGGTGACTGAGTAGAGCATACAAGAGTAGCCCACGTCGAGATTTCAGGGGGTTTGCTTTTGTTTGTATCTGTATCTTGCTAAGCTTTTATCATTAAATTTGTACATGATCTTGTGATCACAATTCTGTGTTTTCGCCCATTCAGCAAGCACGCTATATTGATGTCAACATTAGCGAGTTACAGAAACATGCCTTTGAAAGTTTTCAGCTCTCGTGATGTTTCTTGATATTTCTTTTACCATTTTATGGAGATGTAAACTGAAGTCACCGCAAAATGGAAACTTAAAAAAGCGTATAATCCATTTATCTCGAAACATAACACACGACTTATACGACCTTTATTTTCGTAAAGGTGTTTTGAATACGAACGAACACAGTCAATGTGAGGGGCAAAAACAGCATTAATATAAATGAAACATAGGGTTTTAACTAATCTAAGGGTCAATTATTGTGCATTGAGATGAATCGCTTGAAAAGCGAGACTTCGCTTGACGATGTGATCAGAAGTAAACAAAGGCATAAAAGTGCGTCACGTTCAGTCTTTTTAACATCCAAGGAGTCACTGTGAATAGTGTTTCCATATTGTTTAGCTGGCACAAAAACTTCGGACGAGTTATAAAGCGGCATAGTTATCTCCCATGAAGAAAAGTTCGTCTTGGGTGAGACAAACAGAACTGGAGCGAATTTTTAACTCGCAACGGTATCAGGTAAAAAATATGTTATCGATCGTTTCATCTATTTACATTGTTCGAAGTGCGTGCTAGTGAACGCAACATGCGAGCGAGAAATCTTTAAACTTTTTTAGGTCTCAAAATGCAAAGAATTTTATTCCTTTAAGTTAGAGAAAAATACCACGAGGAAAATCTTAAAACTGAATATTTTTCATCTTGTGGAAAAAATAGTGCGTTTTCTTGTAGACTGTGGACCGCAAATTAGGATCGCACTTTTCACAAACATGCGAATTCTGAAGTTCAGAAGCCAACCGACGATTGCGTTTTTCGCTGCTGTCAATCATCTTAACGGACCTCTTAGGAAACAAAACTTTACTTCACGGGTTGAAAAGGTCATGGTTTGTGATTTGTAGATTTCGATCCGTTTTGTGTGTTTCTCTGTTTCAAGGTTCGTTGCTTGTGATCGTAATTATGATTGACGGCAGCGATAAAAACAATTGTGAAGGTGGCTTTTGAACTTTAGAGTTCGCATGTTTGTGAAAAGCGCAGTAAAGTCTCCGTGCAGTCAGTGAGGCCCCTGGATCAGGCGGGATCAAAGGGCAGTTAACTGTCAGTTTTAGTATACTTCTGGTTTTCATACAATACAGTATTTCTGTCTAGTGTAAATCAGCTCAGTCTGTCGCATTTTATGCTCGTAGAACGACAACAATTTTTGGAATTTCCGGTTACGTCAAATTATGCGCGGGGCAGAATTACGTGACGTGACATGCTTTGCATGACTCCACTGAAAGCTGGTTTGCCTGTGGCTGTTCGACAGTTGTTTTCGTTCATTGCCGTTACGGCAAGTGAAATTGTTACAGTTATAAGTTCAAATTCTTCATTCATTTCCTTCTGGAGGTCTTTCCGAGGAATCGTCTGAGAAGTTCTATGGACTCTTAAACTAACACAGTCTCAGGTGGGTATCGTTGGATTAAAAATTGTTAATTCGTTAAATCGCACAAATCGCTGCGTAAAATTCAGAACACGGAACAGGTTACAGGGGCACCCAACGAGAATATAGTTCAAAACCACTTAAACATAACATTGTTAAACGTGTTTTAGTATTTAAACGGTGGATATGGGCATATTTTTATCCCCTATAAATTTTTCATCTGTTCGGATTTCCTAGCTGGAAAGTCTAGTGATCCGAAAATTATAGGGATCAAAACTTACCTGTTCGAAAATTTCAGCCAGAAAAAAGGCTCCCGAAAATTCTAGGTGACCTTTTTAGGGTAAAAATCCGTTGAAAATGGGCAATTTTACCATTTCTTAGATGTTCGAAAATCCTAGGAGAGGCAGGCAAGCAAGAAATTTTACAACAAATGTTCCGAAAATTCTAGATCTCAAATCGTCTTCCGAACAGATATTTTTCCGAAAATTGTCGTTGGGTGCCCCTTAGGTTCCTCGTGACTTTTGTTGTATTTTTTACCGCTTTGTGGACTTTTTGACACTTAATACTTTAACTCAGCTTTATTTAAAAAACCTATACACATTTCGGACCAATATTGTCTCAAGAAGTTACCGAATAATTAAAGTTTGGCGCCTACCGTAATTCGCATTTGGTTGTGCTTCGGTCAGAGGTCACGTTTTTTCGCCCATTTTTAGTGTAATACTTACCTTTGCTTGGCTTTGTCAGCGCTCGTGATTTCATTTACCCAAAAATTTTATTTCGCTGATTTGAAGAAAAAAGAATGCTCTTTCAGACTAAACAAGCCTTGGTGTTCAAAGCCATGTACCAATCCACTTTTTTAGCTCGGGAAAAAGTGCTAAATTTTGACGGTTGATTAAGCGATTTTGAGTCAACAACTTTGAAAATTTCTTTAAAAATCTCTTGTTGACCAAGTCGCGAACTAATCAGTTAAAATTATAGAGGAAAGATAGTAAAAATACGACGTGTCATTATATTTTA